AAATGTGTAATACATTATTCTCTATTTAAAAAGGTAATAAAATATGTACGTTACCATTTGATTTCATAAGTTGCTATCAAAAAATCTAAATTTAATTAAATTATTAATTAAACCCAGTGAGATATTGACTAGTTTATGATAAAAGAAACACCCTGTATATAATAACGACATTTTAACATCGAAGTAATTTGTATACAATAATCTACCATTTGCGAAAACTACATACTTATTTACTTAAAACTAAACAGACCAATTGTGAAATCATATAATAAAAAGCGTTAGAACGAGCAACCAGTTTGGTCACGTTGCAGTGTGCATGCCAATTAATTCTTATAATTTGTTATATTGATAAGTAAAAACGTTTTTACGTCAGAATAATAAAATTGCGACAACAAATTAATCGTCCTTATTTAACTATTTGAACTTTATAATTATTATTATTACTTTATAAACTAAAATATTTATTATTATTTATAATTTAATTTAGTAATTATTTAAAATTAATGTAGTTTATAAATTAAAAGTTTCTGTTAAGTACACATTTTCCAAAATAAAAGTATACTAATGACATTTATTAACCAAAGTATAATCAATGTTCTTGTATAGATTTCACATTCTAAAGTTACCTAACCATATGTCCAACAACAACATAAAAAAAATTTACTATTTTTCTAACGGTATTAATATAACAAAATATAATTATAATTTATACTCGTTATCACGGAGAATAAATAAACATTTATATTTGTATCACTTATCATTAATACCAATGGAAAGCTTTTAAATAGGTAGTTAATTATGAATTGTGATGTTGATAAGTAGTATAGCGATTTTTACGATGCGTGCAACCATCTGTAACATAATATACTATAAATACATACATACTATAAATGTTGTTGAAAAACGCACGTTCTGTGTTATTAACGAGTATCATAAAGGTAGTATGCATTTTAAACTTAAAAGAGTTTAAACTATGTACTACCCAGCTACTGAACATAACAAATTTTATTAAAGACATTAAAAAAAATCCATATATGACTTTGCCAAAATTCTACTATGCAATTTAATTTTGGTGTAAGGGTTACAACATAGTATTATGCCTCTGTATTTATAATGTAACAATGGCGTATGTACCTGAGCTGTTATACGTATTGTAGGTAGTATAAAATATACACACACAGGGTAGCAACGTGGTATAAATATGTTTACATCTCACGCCCAAATGGCAAAAAATATACTTAACCACAATGACAACAGAACGAACACGGACTACATGGACACGGCCGGATAGATAACTCCCGCGATAACGTAACTAATTAATACGGTACGCGTCTGGTATGCGGCTGTGTCGGCCAATGCTTACCGAGGGTGAAGAGCAAGAGGTATGTTGTAGTTGTCTGCAATCGGGTGTATCGATGAAATCCGAGACGGCGGTCGGAGGCCAACCGGGTCCCGTTCGACACTCTAGCACACACAAATATATATATATAAATATACACACAGGGAGGATAACAGCGGACACCCGGGAGGTAATCTTTCATAATAGTATAATATTATTCGATTATAATCCCACGGGGGATCGTGTAAACGATAGGAACACGTTGTTCGTATTTTTTATCCTGTATAGTTTTTTGGAAATTGATTTTGACGGCACCACGCGCCGTAGCGTCTATATAGCTTATACGATCGTCATGCATCCTCTTCAGTCGCACGATCATTTACAATAATAAACATTTTTTTTCATCTTCCGTTTTTCGTTTAGCACTAGTCAACAATGGTATATATATATATATATATATGTACTATACATTTTTATATACTCTTTTTATAGGTGTACCTGTACAAAAAATGAAGAATCCGTTTTCCTTCAAAAAGGTTTAACTGTTAAAGCGTTGGAGACTATAGAAAAAAGGGAAAAAAACTAGTTCCGGGTGAAATCGATAGTGATATACCAACACAATGTAATCTGTAAACTACATAATATATACATATTTTTTTAAGCGATCGAATGACGTACCAATCTTATATTTTTTATACATACCGATATCGTCACAACATGTGAACATGGATGTATGTATCTGTTATTCCTATTTGTTCAAAAATCGTGTTGGACTGTCGTATACATTTAGTAGTATACTCTATCGTCGGTACTTAAAACTCGTGTTTCTCAATCACAATACATAGTAACGATTACCATGGAAAATAAAACAAACTATGAGTTCCTACCCCGTGCCAAATAACGAGTGTGCTGAAAACGTTCACCCCTTATATACTAGTCACGACTTTTACTTTACTTGTTTCGATTAAGAACATTGATATGACCAACGTACATACGTTAACTGTAGATATTTCATATTTTATAGTTTTATATATTTTATAATGTCTAGACAATGTACCTATACGCATTTGATTATACACATTGTTAAAACATAAATATAAAACAAAATGTATTGGAGAATTTTTTGCGGAGTAGTAAAACAAAGCCACGCCGTGACAATAAAATGTATAATATAACGTTTACAAATTTAATATCGATTATTTTAGTAATAGATATAAACTAAATGTCAGACACTTATCAGTCCCGGCCTAGGTTTCCCTTTTGGCTATTCTGTGCCTAAGTACTCGATAAATTAGATAAGCAACACGTCCGCCTATCTTCACCATCTTATAAGCACATTTAAGGATGTGCTAAATCATCGGTTTATTTTGCGTCAAAACAATAATTTGACAATAAAAGACACCCATCCCACAATTGTGTGTGTTTGTGTACAGCCGCCGCACCACCTGTCGGTGTGTCCCTCGTAAGAAAAGTCAAAAGGCTAACAAGCCAACAACAACTCGGAAAGCGGGTGGTGGCCTCCAGTGTTTATTGTGAGGCATACCGCGTGCATGTGTTCGTGTGTTGCGCGCGCGCGTAGAGAATGCCCATTATATCAAATTGCTTGTCAAAATAAACCGTGCGAGGCGCCTGCCGTCTACAAAAGGATACCAGCGTCCAACACTGTCCGTCCCCCCGTGTACGCGCACGCGGTGATCATGTTTTGGTTACCATCACTTGGTCGCCGCCGCTCGACACTCAGCAGTCCCACGGCAGCAGCTCGTTTTCCACTATATATAGGTACACCGTACAGATCAAAATCTCCATCCGCCCGCTCAACCCGCGGTGCGCGTTCTTTTTCATTATTATCATTAATATTATTATCATTACTATTATTATTGTTATTATTATCATTATTATTATTATTATTATTTAAGACAATGCTTTTCGGAATGCGGGCTATGAACAAAATGGCCGACACGAGACCGGCAATTGGATATAGTATGTAATTTAGGCGGGGGCGATGAAGGAGCAGGAGGGAGGGAGTCGCGGGTACGAAGGAAAATACCAACGCATACCGTATGTTACGGCACATTCACAAAGTCGGCGGCGAATTCGGTTTTCCCCTTCCTCCGCATCGTTGTTTTTTTATTTTGTTTCATCTCATCTCTTGACCGTGTATTTGGTGCGCGCCCAACAGCGTCACGCGGCCACGGCATTCTTGGTTTTCTCGAACTGCTTTTGACCTCGCCGCCGCGTGTACCTTATACCTACCGAAGATACAACGCATACATGTTTCGCCCGCGGTGAGTTTCGAGCCCCGCCCAATGGTGCCACCTCGGCACCTCGTGCTGCGTTGGGTGTCTCATCTTTTGTTTTCTCGATCGTCTGTTGTACCAAAAGATGTCGCACCGTCGCCTCGTGAACTGTATCTAAATGTATTACAGAAGGCCACGAGCAAAAAATTATGCTCGAGAAAACCTACCAGATGATTTTTCTCAATTTTACTCGCAAAAAGTGATGCGGACCTATCACAATGTCAGGCGTAATTAATTAATGCACACTCTAGTGACAACAAGATGTAACATCACTAAAATAAAATCAAGTTTTGATTTTCATACAACAGATGGAAAATTATTGTGTTATCTGTGGACACAGATGATTTTTATAACAATTTTATCTCTTTTAATTTTTATTGACAATAAAAAAATAACAATTTAAGACAAATTAACGTCTATCGTTAACCTGCCTAACTCCATAACTCATAAGCCTTTAATAATTTTGTCTAAAAAGGTAATAAGTTGTTTTATTGTATACAATAAAACAATTAATACAATTTTAACTATATTAGATGTTTACTAGCTACTACTAAACCTTTTCGGCTAGTATACTTTTCGACTAAAACTGATAATAACCGATTCCTTTTTTTGGCTACTTCAATTTAACTAAATCAAGAATAAAATATGTTGAACCAATGATTTAAATATAAAATATATATATTTATATATTTTATTTAGGTATATTATAAAAGTATAATTCTAAGTGAATATCTTATGTTCTAATTTATTATTTAACTAAGAGCTTTCTAGTAGCGTATTTGTTATGTGTTGAATTTTAATTGTTAACTGATTTCTGTACAGGTACGCTTTACATGACCAATCTACACATTTCAGTGCATATACATTATAAATATAAATATAAAATATGAAAAACACTCATTTGGCTAAAAATACTTTTAGACTATCGAAATTAGTGAAACCTAGTATTATCGAATTTTGTAGATTGGTAGCTCGGAGCTTTCGTCCAATAACTGGCATAAGCAGAATGTCGTTCGATAATTTATGACCACTAATGACTAACTGTTTAACTAGTTGCCAAAAAGTAGCGTCGGGGCGTTACCATAAAAAATTATATTCACTCTAGTCGTAACGACAGTTATTGGCACCGAAGCCACAATGTGGTGCATGGATTCCATAGATTATTCATATTAATCATGATTTACCCTGCTTATATTCTCGTGGGATGTTTCAACGACACGCGTGTTATTTAGCCATTAGCGATAAACTTTATAAATGTTAACTATATAATATATTTGTTGTTTTTTTAAGAATATCTTATCTGTTCGAAACAACTCCGTTGGTAAATTGCTAAATATATTTTAAAAACGTCTGAATTTTTACAGAGGTGTAAAGAGAAGTTGAACACGTTGGCGATCAGCGTGATGAATCTGTGGCCTAGCGTCCGGCTACGGGTAATCGATGGCTGGGGCGACCGGTTCGGCAATAGTCTGCACAGCGAGGGACGTGCAGTGGACATCACTACGTCCGACAGGGACAAGTCCAAGTACGGCATGTTGGCCCGGCTGGCCGTCGAGGCCGGGTTCGATTGGGTCAACTACAAACGTGGCTACATACACTGCTCTTGCAAATCAGGTGAGTCGACCGACTATGTTTCTATATATACACTCAGTCAACTGCATAAATTACGTTGGTTCGCTGACTAATATGTATAGGTATATACAATATATGTTGCACATCGTTTAATATATACGACAATAGCTAGATGCGCATCAACATAATTTTCCAATTTGTATTCGCTGCAGGCCGTAAACAAGAATTTGTGCGTATCTATAGGTATACTTGGTCCGTTGCCGTTTATCGGATATATAGCATATATGTTATTATATTGATGGAAAAAGAAAAAACTATAAAAGCAAATGTTCGTGAGTCTATATTATATTGTCTTTAAAAAGTTAAAATTAAAAAAAAAGCGTGGCTCTATAGTTTTTGCAGTTATACTCGTAAATTAATTGAATATTAATTTACCGTACATATTTTCGTAACTGACCCAAAAGCGTGAAAATGAAATATAAGTGACATTTTTATGTTCTGTGAGAGCCTCTCTGTAGGTTTAAGTTCATAAAATTCATGCGATCGATAAACTCTTGATCAAGCGATTTCTGTGAGAGCGCGACAAGGGTCTTAAATAAAAATCGTTAAACAGTACAATAAGAATCTTTCTTTTTTCGCTTGTTAAGCTGATGAAGTGGAGAGGGACTGTTTTTCACCGTTTTCTCACCAGCTAAGCAAGTACATGGTCAAGCTAGGATTTTGTAAACAAATTTCTAATAGAGCCATAGTTCGACAAATTAGTCATTATATCTACTTATCATTATTATAATACGTAAAGTTATAATTGTTTAGTAATAGTAATTTGAATCAGCCAAGTCGAAATTTGAATTATAAGCAACAAACTAATTTTACTTCGTAAACTTTTAGGTAGTAGTAACTAATATCCATCATAAATCATAATATATTTTGTTTATGGCTTAATTAATCATTCTTAATAATTGTTTTAGTTATATATTTACTTAGTAAATTATGACATAGTTTGGAAAAAGCTGTTTTTTAATTTAATTCATATAGTTGTTTATTGGCTAATATCTTTCAGTATGACCATCAGGTATCAATTTTAATTTTATTCCCAATTTTTGTGGTCTATACTAGAAAAATGAGGTTTTTAATTATTTTCCTAAGAAATTGTCGGTCACTTTGAACTCTAGTTAGAAGTAATTTACAAGTTATCGTAGTTTTTTTACGCACACAACGGTGCACACTAAACAAAACTAATCTGTGAACATTTTTTGGTTTTTACGGTTGATTGTTTTTTACTTCCAATCAAACAACCCGTGAAGTATTTATAGTTCCTCATCAAATATTGTATCTAGCGGTACTTTGTGTTTGAAACAGCCCGCAGTCGGTAATTTTCGAGTAGTGTTTGTGTGTGTGAGAGAAACTTGGTACACCATAAACGGTACGGCCCATACACACAATAATACATCTATCCAGTATAATATTATAGTAATATCAACATTATCATCATCATCATCATCGTTGTCGTAATGTTAGTATGTTCAATCGACCGACCGACCGACCGACCGTGTGAACGAAACGCTTAAATAAAATCAGTGCAAACAAACCGTTCGCGTTCGTCGCAAAGGGACCTGCCTGCCATCGACGCGCTTACCTTTTTTGTTCATACATATTATTATTATTATTATTATTTGTACATTGGTCCGCGTGTCGGTCAACGGACAGAATAAACGAATGGAAACAAGACGTGTTGTTTACTCGCGGCAAACACAAAATAAAACCTAACCGACCGCGTGTTAAAATATTCGGAAATCGTTTTTGACCCGAACACGTTGTCTCCGTTCAACAAAGTGCGTGCACCCTCTCATTGGATTGTGTTGCACCGCATAGACCAAATAGAATTACAACTTATTTCGGTCCAAAAGAAAGACCATGCCGCAAGAGTAGTCTTCACGGCGTTAAGTCCGCTGACAAAATATCGACCTAACCACCTAAACCACGCAGGTATCACACAACGGACCGCAAAACAACTAATCTAGCTGGAGAAGCGACTCGATGGATTGTGTAGGGCGTTGAAAACAATTCTGATTTCTAAACAGATCGGGTTCGTGATTTATCGCGTGCAGTTACACGTTTTCGACGAATTCAAAATAATAGTCTTGATCCGCGTTCGACGCACAAATTTGCGTGTGGTCGCTTATCTCGATTTGTTTTATGTTAATTAATCACAAATAATCATTCTTAATATCACGACCTACATAATTTCGATTATACCAATATTTCACCATAATAATTCACTCTTCTCGACGTCCATTTGAGATTTCTCTACGCGTATTAGTAATTCGGACACCCCCACACCAACATCGGACCCCTACCCGCAACGATCATTGGAATTCGAATGCGTTGTTTGCAATGTACAGTAACAATAATAATATTATCATCGCATCGACACTAATTGACTAATAGCTAAAAAAAACTATACAGCAATAGCACTGCCTATAGAAGGTAATTGATACGTCGACGGTATATGATATTCTGACATTCTGGTCAATCTTATACATAGTGGATTTTAGATATTTTTGATAATACATAAGTATTAAATTACATTATATTACGCTTAATATTATTTATTATTGACGTCGTATTACCGACCGTCTACACTGGAAACAAAAGTAACAACTAAATATCGTAGTTGACTTTCATCGAGTCAGTTACAGATGACGTATTTATAGTATTAGTATCACTAGTATTATTATCACACCCCGCATGGGGTGCCTAATTGGCAACGGGTGTGACGAACCCGCGGACCGCAGTCATTGGCGTAGGGAAAGTGGTGTCCCCATCGCCCAGTATACCATTGGTATATTGCAGTAACCATACCCTGGCCTTAACTGGTTGTGGTATTCTGGTCCTCCAGGTTGGGGGTTGGGCACAGGGCCAACGACCCTGTCTTGTAAAAAGATCTTTGTTCAGGATTCATACAACAAGCCTCGGACTAAATTGGAGGCAAGGATGTATGTCGGGATGGTCCTAGTGGCCGAGTTTACCGAAGAAGAAGAAGAAGTATTATTATCTATACACCAGATTTGAAAGTTTCGTACTCCAGGCCTTGAAGTAAATCTTCGATTAATCGATGCAAGCTGGACGCATGTCTGCAGCTAGCGTTATACATAATCATATTTATACGAGTGTACATGGTTGAGGCTGCGAAATCGATATGCGCTCAGCCGAGGTTTTCTCACACGTCTATACGATTTCATCGAGTACGGCTGGCCGATCGTCTTGTCGTTGTTGTCGTCGGGTTTTGCATTTCGTAACACTCGGGGCAGTGAGTTTCGGCCACAACTATGCGGATCGGTGTCCGGCTTTCGTGTGTCACGCCAAGATCCGATTACACGCGACCGCAAGTCTCCTCTGTCTGGTACACACATACACACGAGAGAGAACAAACAATACAACGGGAGAATAAGAGAAAAAAAAACGTTTCCCCTTTTTCTTTATTTTTTCCGTTGCCTCTGCTCCTCCTAGTCATCATCGACCATTTATACTATTTACGAACCAACAACAAATAATACGAGCCTAAGTGTATACACCTATGCGCCTAAGAAGAGAGTGTTTTATTTTATGTAAACACGACTCGTGCGGTGAGTGTAAAGCAAACTCGGAAGACAAACTTACAAGGGATGATGGTGCATAATTTGTGTATATTTATTTGTAACCTTTATTTTTTTCCAAACATCTAATAATAGCCGCTCGTGACCTGTCCAAAACCGAAAACCCACAACTCGTCTTTAAACGAACCGCATACGTTACATTACACCTTTCCGTCGCGTTTTTTTACCTCCGGTGCATATACTGTTATTATCATACTCTTGCATACAAAACTGTTAAACACCGGTGCATAAAATAGACAAATGTTAAATTGATAAATATCGCCGCCGTCGCTACTTCATTGTACAATTCGTTTTTAATCGATCACACCACAGTGTTTTACAAATCTCTTCTCCGAATGGTTCATGATTTTTACTCGTGCTCAGAGCTTACTATTTGTTCATTACGGGAGTCCAAGAGTTGACTGTATAATTTTTTTTTCAACTCATCCATATTGTACACATATATCATTATTTTGCTTACACCTTTGGTTAATTATATTACACCGATTGAAACGAACGGACAATCGAACCGAATCGCGGACCAAAAAAAAAAACCTTTTCATACATTAGTCTGCAGTTATACATTACAATTTGGAATCGTTGCGTTTTAGGAAATGCACTACACGAACACCGAGTCGAGTTGTTTGTGAATGGGTTTAATCTGTCGAGAATTCTCACTCGTGCAGTGTAAATACGTGCTCGGAGGAAACGATTTTACTCTTTGTTTAACGCTATAGACTCATGTCTTTAAGGGCGATCGGTCAACATAGTATAAGTGTGAAATATGGCCGTATGTTCGCCGTTTTCTCATAATATGAATAATATGTTTTGATACGGTCTCTCAAAAATCTTATTTACTTATCAGCACAACGCACCATAACATTAATTACACTCATAAAACACGACCGGTTTTGTCAGTAATTCTAACCAATTGGGTGCGCATTTTAGTGTTATATTACACATTGATTTTTAAACAACGATAAATATTCTGAAATCTTTCTTCCGGTCATTTTTCTCTCGGAATTAGTACATGAGATACTCGTGTTAACCGTTCGACCGTAAACGCCAAACGTATACCTAACATGTATAACACATAATTTGTAACCGTACGATAATTTATTGTCATAATATAATATTTTACATTTAAATCTTTCACGGCGTTATCAGTACGATAATGCTGGTAATAGTTGGTTCCAACGAGATGTGTTGGAAATACAAAGGTTATGGAGAAACAGCGATAAAAAAGTGGAATAATTATTATAATTATTGCTAAATCATTTTTTTAAGATTTTACTTAGATTCGAGTTGGCAAGTCGCGATAAATAAAAAACTGTTTTAATTGAAAGAGTAGATTTAAAATGATTTACTTTAATAGGACTTCTTTTTACCATTAGTATTTTTTCTCTTCATTATTTCCCGAAATTCAGAGACTGATATCGAGTAATTATTATTATTATGTAAGCCAACAAAATTAAAAATTGAGTCAGCCATGCTTTTGTATTGATTATGGTTAAATAATGGTAGACGCCGTGAGTTTCTATGTATTGTACTATTCTTTGTATTGACGAATATTGGACATAAATCATAATACTTACTATTAAAATGTAAATAGCTCCACGGTCAGCATAAATATCTCGACTGGATAAACTAATATCTGCCGTAAGTCGTACCATGGTGCGATAAAACGAAAATATTTCACATCCATTATCCTTTCATAATAATAATATAACAGAAAAGAATTTAATAAAATAATAAAATTTCCGAATTCAATAATGAGCCGTTAAACGTATCCTCCTAGATAGCATATTATTATTGTATAATATAAGACCTACACGCGGTCACCGGTCGTTTTCATAAGTTTTATTACACATAGGTATCCGTGCGTGAACTATCGGTATAATAATGCATGCCATGTTAAACATGTGTGATTCTACATGAGTCCGGGATAAGGCGTGAGCAATCCGGTTTTCCGAAACCCGTATGTATTTCACCATTTTTATACTGATTAAATCAGATTGGGAATCGGCCGTGCGCGGAAGGTGAATACCAACTGCAGCGGTGAGGTATATTAACACAAGAATTATTACCTTTTTATCTCATTAACTAATTTATCGTGGTCGCACGACATGAACGAGAACGAAGAAAAAACAAACAGTACGCGAGGGTCATTTTTTTTTTTTATTATTAGTTATTTTAATGGGTTTTTAAATCAGACAAATCAGTATATACAATCTCTAAATCACGTATATATACATATATTGTAGTATAGCTAGTTATTTTATAACCACATACACACGTTTGAATTGCTAATTCGCTTAATATCACCGACGCCGCGTGAGCACGCTTATTAATATCTATTATTAAATATTACACCAAATACTGTTTTATTAGTATAATATTTTTAATGAAATACACAGCTAATTTTCATTTGGTTTGTTATTGTTGCAGAAACTAAAATAAATACGAGATCGATGGGATGTTTTACCGGCGACAGCATAGTGACAACGACGTCCGGCAAGAAGCCGATGAAAGACTTGAATGTCGGCGAATCGGTGTTGGCGCTCACCGACGACGGACAGTTGCGCTTCAGCAAGGTACTGTTGTTCCTGGACAGAAGTACGACAGCGAGAACGGACTACGTGACGCTGGTAACGGAATCGGGAAAATCCATCACGGCGACGCCCAGTCACTTGGTGCTCCGCTGGGAGAAACCTGAAAGGTCGCAAGTCTGGGATGCTAACCCGGTACTCGCCAAGAGCATCCGAGTAAATGATACGCTGCTTACCGTCGTGGACGGCAAAGCCGGCCGTAAGGCATTGCGCACCGAACGCGTAGTGGAAGTTAGGCACATGGAGAGACGAGGACTGTACGCGCCGCTGACCGTCGACGGCACCGTGATCGTCGATGACATCGTGGCATCGTGTTACGCCGTCATACACAGCCAGCGAATAGCTCATTGGGCATTTTTGCCCGCCAGAATGGCGGCTGCTGCACAAACTTCCCTAAAAGGATTCATCTGGCGTTTAGCGCACCCACTGGCCACGTCCGTACCGAACCAGTTGGAAATCACGGCGCCCACCGAAGGCATTCATTGGTATCCGAAATTGTTGTATGCCATATCCGGCTACATTATACCAGCTAGTATGATGGACGCACATTGAATATAAATATACATTGCGCCGTTATTTTTAGTAGATATAAAATGACCTTTCGAATCTATTGTTTGGCTAATTTTAATTTTAATCAATTCGGTACGTGCATTTTTGCTCTAACGTTGGGATTAATGTATTTTTTCGACCATTTCCCAACTCCTGTATCCCAAAAGTGACTTATAATTATTATACCAAAAATAATTTATAATTTTTATTTTGTAAATTTGTAAAAACAAAATCAAGTTTCTAATCTGACTATCATATTTGTTGTCCTGTTGACACTAACATTAGCTAGGTATAACACCAAAATACATATTATTTAATCTTGTTGATATTAATTTACCAACCACGTTTTAATACAATACACCTATTATGTTTTATCTAAAACAAAATGCTTATCTAAAAACAAAAAAACCTTTTCAGAAAAACACTAAACTGATAACTAATGCATTGAAAACTTGTACTTATTAAATGTTAATAATTTATTATAATTTAAATTATACTTCTTGTAAATTATATTGTAGGGTTTAAAAATATGTTGTTATTTATACATTGTATGTATGTAAATTATTATGTTGTGTATACATTTTATGCCTATTGCCTATTTATTATCTATACATCGTAATTATTGTAAGCTCGAAGTGTTATGTACAAATGTATACGTGTATAAACCATAAATAAATGAGACCAAATCAAAACTGCGAATAGTTATTTCATAAAAAAAAATTGTCTACAGGAAAACTATTAAGTCGAATGTCGATTGATGTGAATGCGAGGATGACTCGGCGAGGACTCGTGCTCTTTGGCATACTTATAGATTTAGTTAATTATACCTATATAATCAGATATATAATATATTTTTATGGCAGTCCAAAAATGGAATTTTATTTATGAAAATATTTAAAAATATTAATTATTAAAATTGTAAAATTGTTTGCAAAAATGTCGAGTACTTATTATTATACAGTATTGTGTAGTGACAATTAATGTGTGTAATCGTTTTTACAATAAATCACAAATGTAACTCCTTGGTGTATAAGAACTAAAAGTAAAAAAAATTAATATAAATATTTGATTCAAGTCAAAATACTAATTCTTATCGTAATTATTAAAGTTTCACATCATAACCCAAAAAGTTATAAAACATAAAATAATATGCAACTACCATAAACATTTTGTCTGCAGATAGTAAACTTTTTACTATGCTGTCTATGCTCAATTTTTACTCAATAACAAATTGTCAAACTAATTATAATAACTAAAAAAAATACTAAACAGTAAAAAATAACGTTGTAAATAAACTATTTAGTTTATGATAGACTAATAAAATAATTAACTACTCATATCATTTTTTTTAAATAAAAATATTTCCATAATATTTTAACCTTCACAACAAATCCAGGTAAAGTTTTGGAACAAAATTACGATATAACTCTAGTTGAATAAAAAAGGAATAATTAAAAATTTCATTAGGTACTGTGAAGATTGCGATAAATGATATGTAGGTCAGACAAAATTAAATATTGAGGTTCAAGGAACATAATATTATAAGGAACATACAACTTTGTGGAGTGTAAAATGGCTGTATTTGTTCAGTAACTTTTTTCACTTTAGTAACACTGTTTTTGTTACAGTTTTTATGAGAAAAAGGCCCCAAAAAATTTGAGACAGTGGTGTTTTTTCACTCATTTTCAATTTATTATTGTTGTCAATGCTCTCGTCTTCAGAAAGCATTTCTTCGTTGCTTATGTTAGATTTACTCAATTTGATTAGCTAAAAGTAAAATTTTAGTTAATAAGTTATTCTTACGAGAATGGAAAAAAACTTACATCTAACATTTCATTGTTGATGCCGTTAAGAGGGCGTCGCACCGCCTAGTTTTAAAGAGTATAGACTATAGTATAAGCAATTTTTCACAAAATCTTAATTTAAAGGTTAAACTGTGATGTGTAATTATTAGTTCAATAACTAGGACTCTATTTTGGTAGTTAATTTATTTTTCGGACTATCACAGCATCATTGAACGCGATTTAAAAATGTTTTTTCATCTCTACATGTTTAAGCAGACTGAAATTAACTCGCTTAATTTTGGTCTTAGAGTAAAAGCGCCCATTATAAAATCAAAAGAGAACAATATTCCGGAGAGCAAGACGGTGCATTTTTTTCATTACTCTAAGTATAACGCTCAATACATAGTTTAGAAATAACGACTATTTTAACATTTTTAAATGACTGTAACTTTCCAAAAAATAATTTTTTTTTAAAAAACGCACCGTCTTGCCCTCCAGAATATTGTTTTTTTTTTAAATTTTATAATGGGTGCTTTTACTCTAAAACCAAAATTAAGCGAGTTATTTTCAGTCTGCTTAAACATGTTTTTACCACTGAAAATCACCGGTGCGACGCCCTCTTAAGAAGAAATACTATAAAGTCATGTGCGTCTTCTTGAGTGCCTTCTTTTAAAATCTGGGAAAATCTTTTACACATAGCTAGGTCTGAAATCCTCTCCAATTTCGGTTGTATCTTGGGTATTTTCGGAGTTGGATTTTAATTGTTGGAATTCTCCAACAAATTGAAATCTGTCATAAACAATGGATGATTAGACATTTTAAAATTAAATTTGACTAATAGCTATTTTTAATTTTGCAAGTTAAAATTTAGTAGATTTAAAAAAATCAAATCCGACGACAACTCACAAGCTATCCAGAATCGGAGTGAATGAATTTTGAGATAAGGTACTACTTCTTTTCTCCAAATTCAATGGAATGCTCTTTATAAGACTGAAAAACTGGGGACATCCTAACAATGCTTGAAGCGTTGCATAAATATGTAACAGCATGTGCTGCTGTTTTCAAGGCCGCGAGGTTGTATTTTTAACTCGTGTGTTCCAAATTGTAACTGGAGAGAAATTCTACATGAAATGTTAAGAAAGATTGTTAGATAATATTAATCTCATTAACTAATGCGAAGATTACAACTTACCACCTAATCTTTGCAAGTGCGACGAGTTGTCGTCAATACTAGTCATAGAATTGCTGCTTGAAGGCCTGGGTTTAGTTTGTGTAGGTTTTTCATTGGCCTGCGCAACAAATACTGAAGACTTAATTGTAGTTGAATTGTCGGGTACACTCCTTGTCGGCATCACAATATTTTCCGTGTTACTGGCGGCGGCGGCCGGCTGGCTACTGCCATGCAATATAAAAACTTTGTTGGTGCTTGTACTTAGGCAACCGGAAAAGAGTCCTGCGCACGTCTTAGCCACCGGTTTGACGGGCTCGGTTTCAACGACTTCGGGTTTGTCCAAAGGAACAGGAATTGAAGAGGTAACCTTGTTTTGATTGGCTTCCGTTTCTTCTTTGATCGCAACAACCGGACAACATTCTTAAACTTTTTTGGCTTCTTCTTTTTGGCTTTCTTGAACCAAGTTTGACGGGCTGTTAGTCGTCGGCTCTTTCTTCTTTTTGTTTTTAGTAGACGCTTGAAGATCTTTTACTTTTTCAGTCGTTGTGTCAGCGATAGTTGTTATTTCTACGTTGTTTTTTTTTCTTATAACTAGCTGCACTTCTGTGTTTCTATCTTTTTCTTGCCATTCTTGCTAATGAACAATACAGTTTAATTTTACTTATGTTTTAATTAATTACTTAAAAAACATTTAAAATAAGAAAAACAATTACTAACTAATTTACGAAGGGGAATTGAGGGTTGTATCTCCTTCCCAGGGCCCTATCATTACACAAAAATATAACTATTACAGTAAAGCCGCGTAAACACTCGTGAGCCGAACCAGTAGCTAACATGATTGGGATGTAGTGCCGAACGCCGAACGATGCATCAAGGGTCGGTTTTTTTAACGAACACAGCGAACCTGGTGTAAGTTGGGACGGCGTCGTTCAGAGGTTCGTCACTTGGTCGAGTATTCGTAGACGCGTATATTTTTTCATATAGCGTATCGCGTATTTTTATTTAAATTTTCTAATTACATTCAACATTCATCCCATTCAAAAGAAACAGTAAGAATTCTTCCACATCTTCCTGGATGCCTTCATTTAAATTTGGAAAAATATTATAAACATAGTACGGTTGTTAAAACTTTTTCTGTGAATTCTCCAACAAATTTCACCCCGTCATACACAATGGATGATTAGAAATTTTTAATTTTGCAAGTTAAAATTTTGTAGGTATGAAAAAATCAAATCCGACGACAACTCATATACTATCCACTATTGGAGTTATTGAATTTGGTGAAAAGGTTCATTCTCCAATGGAACCCTCTTAAGAAAATATAAAAAGGCTGGACAATGTTTGAAGGGTTGCATTAATGTAGTACAAGTGCTACTGTTTTCAAGGCCGCGAAGTTGTATTTTGATGTCTGTGAGATCCAAATTATACCCAAGAGAAATTCTACATGAAATGTTAAGAAAGATTGTTAGATAATATTAATCTCACTAACTAACGTGTTTTCGCAGGTGGCGAATGTTGCGTATTTCTTAATATGAATGGACATCGGAAAGTGAACTTTAATGGGCACTTAAATGAATCTGGACTTGGTTGTAAAAGATGTTAACTTCTTCGATCCCCCTGGAAGACTCGCTCTAAAGCTGGTGTGGACCTCCTTATATATGCTCATGCTGGAGCATGGGTGTTGTTGATTGGTCGGGGGTGTGGCGGATTCGAGTACTCTCATTGGTCGGAGGGCTGTAGCAGGAATGTTGTGCGGCTGTGGTAACAATAACTAAGCAAACAAAGGATTGGTTTTTCCGTTGGTAAAAATAGTATATACCAAGAATGTTGTGCGGCCATTGCAACAACAACTATGTAAACAAACATTGGTTGGAAAATATCCAGAATGAACACGTCACTGTTGTAACCACGGCGTAAACATAACGCGAAGATTACAACTTACCACCTAATCTTTATACTATACTAGTACTACTTAGTAAATAGTAAAATACTTGCCCCTGTCTATAGTTACGCCACTGGATAAAGCCTTGGAACAGCTGTAGAAGATTACACGGACCGGTGCGAGGTGGCACTGACGGACGAGTAGACTTGACGACGCAGAGATCTTTGCGGTAAACCGAACGATGCCCATGCCCACCAGACATGCAGGGATGAAGGACGGACGTCGCTGTCACGACCACAGGTCCAGTTTTGTCGAAAATGCGGAAATACTTGGAATTATGACGCCAACGAGGACGAGTAGATTATAGATTAAAATATAAAACCGCCAGACGAGAAATTGTTTGTCCGGTCATTCCGCTTATTTTGTATATTTTTTTTTAAAATAAGGGAGTAATAATCCGAGACACGGGCAGGGGTCCGGGGTCGGAAACTTCTGTCCGTTAAAGGGTTAAATGTAAAATCGCGTTGCAACTTGCTTTTTATTATATCTGTGACGATAACCGGAAAATAATGCGAAACCAGTTTCAGCAGCAGAGAAGAATTTTTATTTATATTTAATTTCTGGCTGCACTGATTCTTCCGAATTCTTTACCAATATTTGATTTCTTACCGCCTCTGTTGGTTATTCTGTGGTTTAACTGATTAGGTATAATGGCTAAAAATTAAAATTTGATACAAAAACATAAATCTTCATGAAGTTTATACCTACTTTATTTGAACCGAAACATTTTTTACATTTAATATCATTTATTAACATTTAATATAGTTAATTCTACTGAATTTTATATTTATATAGTTTTATTTTTTTTAAATTAAATAGGTTTTTTGTTAATTACGTATTTTATGAAAAGTACACAAGAAACTATAAAATAATATGCTATCTTTCACGTAAGTAAAATATACCTACTTTAATAGTTTAACATATTTCATTTACATACAAATTACATTTTTTATAGTTTTTGTACAAATTTTTTCAACCAAAAGATTTGGTTTTATTATTCTCGAGTAGCTCTTTCAGCTGGTTTACCTGATATTAACTATTAAAATTTGTTAACTCTGCATAACTCTTTCTTAAATTGAGGCCCAATTAGTAATCGTAGTATTCATTATAATAATAACTTGGCTACATCACGAAAGAAAAATTAATTTTAAGCATCATTGTATACATTATTATTAATATTAAAAGTTATATATGTTGTTATTTAAGCATGACTAATGATGACTCTATAATTGCTGATGTGTTTACACAAAAACATCAGTTGGATTTCTCTCATACTAATCCACAGAAGCGCCTACGAGAAGAAAACTATTGTGATTTCTTTGGTTTACCACCAAAAGTAAAACAAATGTTTCAAAAGCACAAGGGAATTTCTAAACTTTATGGTTATGAATATTATAAATCCAATGCTTTATTATTTATTATTATAACAAAATGTCTAAATAAAATTACAGATTGGCAAATAGAATGTTTAAACTTGGAAGCAGTAAAAAATAGAAGAAATTTAGTTTATGCTTTACCAACAAGTGGAGGTAAAACATTAGTAGCTGAAATTTTAATGCTCAAAGAATTGTTAATTTTTGAGCGGAATGTAATATTTATACTACCATATGTTGCTTTAGTACAAGAGAAGGTAAAATATAAATTCCTACTTACATAAAAGTTGTTTAACTATTTAAAAATTCAAATTTTATTTAGAATATAAACATGCAGGATGTAGTTTTTAGAACATATTAATTAAAACATTTCTTGCACTCCAACATAAATTGTATTAGTTTACATTGAATACATTGTTTAGGTACAATCATTATCACCATTTGGTCTTGCCTTAGAATTCCATGTTGAAGAATATGTTGGAGGTAAAGGTAAACATCCACCTACTCAGCGAAAACGCAAATCATCATTGTATGTCTGTACACTTGAAAGAGGAGCTGGCTTAGTTGATTGTATGTTAGCTGATAATGGTCGATTAGGCGGGAGAGAAATTGGCATGATAGTCGTAGACGAGTTACATCTTCTTGGTGAACAAAAAAGAGGAGCATTGTTGGAAGCAACACTTACTAAAGTATTATACTCTAAATGTAAGCTAATCAAAATATTTTTGTAATAAAATATTTTTTCGTATGATATTTATGACATATATAATTTATAGACAATACACAAATAATTGGGATGTCTGCAACAATTGGAAATATGCCAGAAATTGGTGATTTTTTAAATGCTCATATATATACGAGAGATTTTAGGCCTGTTCAACTAACAGAAACAATTAAACTTAATGGAGAAATATTTGTTGTTGAAAAAGATATTGATGGTTCTTTAAAGTCTAAACTTGATAGAAAGTTAATGTTTGAAGTAAATTACAAAAATGAAATACTGTTTTGATTTTGTTTTAACGATTCTTATTTTTATCCTTAGGATTATTCAACAGAAATGAAAAAATTTGACCCAAATGGTTTTGGTCTTCTTGTACGTGAAATATTACCAAATGGGAGTTGCTTAGTGTTTTGTCCAACTAAGAGCAGTTGTCAAAGTGTAGCCAAAATAATTTATAAGACAATTGGGAAGTGAGTATGCATTAATACAACTATAGTAATTTAATTAACTTACTATAAATAATGTATTAACACATGATTAAAAACACCAGAGATGAAGCACGTAATAAATTAAAAGAGAAGGAAGCATTATTTAATGCTCTAAAAGAAGAAGGTAATGGTATAGTTTGTCCTTTGTTGGCAAGAAGTATACTGTATGGAGTTGCATATCACAATTCTGGTAAATATTAACAAATAATTTTAAATATTTTTTAAGTGTAGTTAATACAACTTAATTTAATTTGTGTTTAACAGTTTATTATTTAGATAAATAAACAACATACAAAAGGTCTACTTTCTCAGCTTTGTATCAAAACTAAAGTACAGGGTGTTTATAAAATTAGTCTTTGGTTGGTATCAACTGTTATTTAATTATCATTATGTTAAAAATATTCATTACATGAATTTGAAAAAGTAAATTCTTAAGTTTTCTTATGTTTAGTACACTTTGGTATGTGCATCATTTGTTACTCTGCATTTGTCCAAATGGTAATTAGATTATTGGTAATTTAACTGTTACGACGTACTTGCCAGATTTTTGGATGTATGGAAACTACTGCCTCTAAAACTTTCTGCCCTAGGTGGTTAATGTCATGGATTTTATCCAAATGAATTTTTTTTACACAATATGTCCCCACAAAAAAAATCTAGTGAATTTATATGTGGGCTCCTTGGTGGCCATGCAATTGGCCCTGCTAGTCTGGTCCGACTGTTTGGGAAACAAATGTCAAAAGCTTCACAAACACTGTTGCTGTAATCCGACAGAGTGCCATTTCGATGAAAGAAAATTTATCCTTTCTCTACCTCAATATTTTCTCAGTAGAAACTGCAATGCATTAAATTTAATTTAATAACATACTGAACATAGAAAATATAAAAACCAAATGCTTTCAACGGATTCCACTATTTAGTCATGATTTTTTTAAAGTAAGGTTTTTTTTTATAAAGACCCTGTACAATCACAGTACACGTTATAAAAACAAATTTATTTATTTCACAATGTTGTTGAGGTAAAATTAATTATTTATAAAAAATCAATTTATAGCAATAAAGGCATGTTATTTTCTTCTGATAAAATAAAACTTATTAGGTATTGTTTTTAAAAAAAATTTAACATGGATTTTATGTTAAATATTTATTATATAAACTAGGGTGGAAGAGTGGCCAAGTGGTTAAGGCGTCAGTATGCTTGGCACTCACTTTCGCTGGTTTGACACTTGGTCATGACATTTTTTTGTTATTTAGAATTATGTTATTTTTGGCTCCCTTTTAACAAAATTATTTAAGCTGTGACACTCAAAAAATCCTAATTTCCATCTAACAGAAAAAAAAAAATGTGATCAAAGTTTTTTTGTATAAGTTTGAAGAAAGAATGAAGATTTGTTCATTTGTAAACTTATTTTTAGGTTTAACAAATGCAGAACGAAAATTGTTGGAAGAAGCTTTTTTAGGTGGCACTTTGATATGTATTTGTTGTACATCAACTTTGGCTGCAGGTGTTAATCTTCCCGCACAAAGAGTAAGATATTTTAAATTTTAATAAAAATACATAAATATATATATTATGTATATAATGTTATTATAGGTAATAATAACGTCTCCATATGTTGGACGAGACTTTATGAAGCGCAGTACTTATAGACAAATGGTTGGTCGGGCTGGTAGGGCAGGTCTTACAGAACACGGAGATAGTATTTTAATATGTCAAGATAATGATAAAAATAAGGTAATTATTATTAGTATATAATTTTGAGAATATATCGGTGTGGAATGGACATAGCATGTTTTATTATAAGGTGTTCTATCAATATTAATTATGAGTTTATTACTAAAGATAATCATACTTTTTTATGTTTCAATTTGAAAAAAATCATAAAATCAAATTACTTTGTAGTTTTATGAAAACTATAAAAAAAAAATTAGTATTATTAGTAATTTTTTATATAAAAAATGGTATTTATTATATTTATTACCTTAACTTTTGCTTAAATTATATTAAATTAAAAAAATATAAATTTTTAATGTCAAAATATTTTTATAATACTTATAGTTACTATTTTTCAGGTAAAAGAACTCTTAGAATGTGGCATTGAAAGTATTGAAAGTTGTCTTGGAACAGAAGATACTGTAGTTTATTCAATGATATTAAGTTCTATTACTACAGGCTGTACAACAACTCGTCAGCAATTGGTGAATTTAATGAAACGTACCCTGTACATACAACAAGCAGAAACACAAGGAAATGCCACTACTGCAGCATCTGATCTAGTTGAGTCATGTTTAGACAAATTACAAACTATTAATTCTTTTACAAAGCTAAATGACGATGAACTGAAATTGACAGTCATTGCTAAGGCAGCAGTTTCTGCCAATTTAGACATATTAGAGGCACAAAAGCTCTACACAGATTTGTTAGAAGCATCAAATGCACTGATTCTAACAAACAAATTACATTTACTGTACTTGGCCGTCCCTTACACAGACTACATAACGTTACAACGAGGAATTGTTCTAGACATAGTAAGTACTAGTAGTTTAATAGGTAATACATTACACCTTAAACTTTATACTTAAAACAATTGTTTAACACTTAATGTTTTAATGAAAATAAGACTTTTTTTTTTTACATATTGAGTTTTTTAAATAAATGTTATAACAACTAGTTGTTAAAAACCAGAAATTGAAAACAGAATATCAAAATATCTTTTCTATTCAGACGATCTCTGGAGAAAGAAATGGCCACTCATCTGGTGCGTAAAACAATGGGAAACCACTGCACCATAAATACTCTCCCCAGCACTCATCTTATTTAATAAAAAACAAATAAACCAACCATAAGGCTAAAAAAAAAACATGATTGTGTGTTTATACTTTGGATTCAAGTTCACTACTACTACTACCACTGGTAGTCTACCAGTAAATCAATAATATGGTATGAATTTCTTTTTCTAGATAACCAACTTGTATGGTGATCAGCAAGTATTAGCTGACAGATTAGGATTGAATGAGTTGTGCATAGCACAATTTATTAGTCATGGGAAAATAAGAGTACATATTTATTTTATTTAAATTTAATTGGTTGTATACCTTAGTTTACTTTTGTAAAAATAAATGTTTCAACAGAATATATCAGAAATTGTTTGGAATAAGTTTCTTACGAGTTTAATCTTAAATGACTTGTGGCATAATGAATCAATTTGGGCTGTATCCAAGAAGTATGATGTGCCTAGAGGAACAATACTTTCATTTTTATCAAGAGCTGCATCTTATGCTTCATCCATACAAAGATTCACAGAAGTACACTTACTTTAAGGTGTATGAAATATTTTTAAGTTTAATTTTTTAAAGTATTTTTTAGGCACTTCAAGATAATAAATTAGACCATTTTCCTATGTTATTTCAAAGTATTATTCCCAAACTTAACTTGGAAGTAATGGGATGTTCCGATGATCTTGAGTCTCTAATGAGTCTACCATCTGTAAAATTTGTAAGTGTCTGCCTAGTGTGTAATGTTTGCATACATTGGTTTGGTTAACTATTTGTTTTTTTTTTTTAATAAATAGCAATTAACATTTCCATAATTTGTTAAAATTGTAAAGCGCCAATCCAAAGCTTAAAATATAAAATTATTAACATTTTCAATAAAATTCCTTGTATATAAAATTATCAGAGTAATAATTAAGTTAATGCTGTCAATATACTTTATAGGGCAGAGCAACACAGTTGTACAAAGCTGGATATAAAACATTGAATGATGTTGCAAAAGCAAATAAAAAGGAATTATGTAATGCTATTGACCATTTACCATTAAAAGTCGCACGCGAAATAATAGCCTCAGCTAAAGTATTATGCACTTATTTTACCTTTATAATACAAACTACATGGTACTAAACTTACTTTACAGCTTATGTTATTATCCAAGGCAGAAATACTTGAAGAATTAGCTGAAGATTTACGGGCTGATCTAAATGAATCAATGTCCAAACATAAAGAAACTTCATTATGGTTTAAATGATTATATGAGTAGTATTAAACATATTGTTATTTATGCTTTATACATGAGGTTTAGTAACTTAAAAGACTGATATTTTAACTATTTTTAAAAAGTATTATTTTGTTAATTACAAAGAATGTGTTTAAAAGCTGAATATTATTTGATTAAATTATTTTAACCAGAATTTGTTAATTTTTTATCAATAATCACCGGGTCTAAGTAAAAGTTTTCTAAAAATATTGAAATATTGTTTATAATTAAACTTGTTGATAAATCTATGTATCTAAAGATGCTAAAATTTATATATTTATTTTTAAACAAAATTATTTGAGTATGCTACATGCTCAAGTAATTACTGGCTGTAAATTAATCTTTAATATATAATATAAACAATTACACTTAATTAGTATTGTATGTAATTTAAGACAAGCCCACATAGTTATTTTCATGATTTATCATCATTTGAACAGAGCTATAGAAACTATCGAACCAAGGTGGATTTATAATATAATAAATCCACCTTGTATCGAACTATCATACTATCGTGTATGCATGGCAGTTGAGATTCGAAAACTAATATTGTGAGTGATATAAAAATATAAATACATTTTATGGTGAAAGGAGAAATTTGTTATCACGACATTAATTATCACTGTAGAATAAACAAGACTGAACAGTCAGTCTGTCGTTAGTGCTGAAGGTGACAACATTGTTTCCGAAATACGTCGTTTACGCAGAGTATATATATTTTTATGGTTAAGGGTTTTAAATATTTTATTATATATAACCATAAGTTGCTCAGGTTTTTTCTAGATTATCACTGTAGCTCTAGCTTTAAGGGAGAATTTGCTGTAATATTTGGCTGATGTTAGAAAACGATTTTACTAAATATATTGTTAAAAATGTATGTAACCAAATTTGATGTTTAAAATCAAGTAAAGAAATGGAGGTGTGCGGTATGAATAACAAAAAAAAATATGAAAAGAGAATGAAGAATGTCAAGAGAAAACATAAAATGTTGGTATGTTATTTCAACATAACTCGTTTAATAGATATCTAAAATGTTATGACTAACTCTTCTCTTTTGGTGTATTATTTTATATTCAATAGTAAATTAATTCAGTATCTGAATAAATATAATATTATTAGTTACTTCATATCTAGACTTTTTTTTTCACTATTAAGACACTTAAAATAAATAACTATTATAACTACAATAATATTCATTAACATAAAAAAAATGATACATGATACAAAGAATGATTTTATGTAATTAATTAATAATATAATTGATCAAATATAATATATTGTAGTAAACGAAAGAAAAAAAGAATTATGGTAATAATAATAGGCATTATAATGTAATAGGTTTAACTGTCATTTAAAAAATACTTGAGAATAAATAATTTATAACATTTAGGAATGACAGAGAAATGTAAAATTAAATCACTTAGTTGGTAAAGGTTTCTTTAGTGGTATTTGTTTTAACTGAAGTATAATAGATCGCATGCGTGTAACGTCTTTACTAGCACGACTTGATTTTTGGTTAAAATCACAAAGTTTTGAAATACGATCCCATTCTGTTCCTGGTTCAATATCGTCAGATTCAGCAACAAATTGCTTTTCAGCATTACTAAAAAAATAACATCAATTTAAATTACAACACATTGGATACTAGTTAAAATTAATATACATGGGGTATTCCATCACCAAAATGTATTTCATTTGACTTATGTTAAACAAATTTTTAGGAAGACAAGTGGGCTAATAGGCGTTAGTGTACTTGGCATTCACTGTCATGCGTTTCACACTCGGTCATATGCGCTCTGTTTGTAAGATGAAAAATTGTCTGGTTAAATTAAGCTGTCAGTCCCTCTCTGGTGACAGGCTGACCATTTGTCTGAATTGCAAACTTGTCAAGAAACCATATCATGAAGAAGTAATTTTTTTATCCAACCATTTACGTAAATGTTTAAAAATAAAAATAATATTTATTTTTAAAAACTTGCTAAAAATTAGATTAAAATTAAAAATCAAGGAGGTCGGTATGTTTGTATTGTTGTTTATATTTATTTATTTAAAATTTATTATTATTAATATTAATAGAAAAAAAGTCTTGTGGAAGGGTACAATTTGCCAATCACAATTCAATAAAATAGAGAAGTAAAAATGTCCAAGTCAAATGGTGTACGATTTGGCATGAAACATTTATATATTGTCTGTGTTATTTTAAGTATTCTACAAAACTAAATAATTTGTAAACTTAATTTTCCAACTCACATTGCAGATTCACTATTCCAATGAAGCATTTAATACATAAAGGTAATATTAAGTATGAAATTAGGTCAATGAATATGTAATATAAACAAAATATATACCGGTTAGCAGCTTTAGTTTTTGCAATCTGTTCCTTGTGAATCTTGTACCATTCTTCCAACTCTTTTTTTGCAATTAATCTCAACTCCTCTTTCTTTTTTTCTTCATTGGCATCTAAAAATTTAAAATAAATCAATATACTTAAAATTTATTTTGAAAAGGAATTTCATAATATGGGTGCAATATTCTAATAATATTTTATACAATTCTGAATCCCTTGGAATTAAAAATTTATTTTAAGGAATTTTGGGGAGATTCACATTACTGTTCAAAATAACAGGGTGTACCTTTTTCTTCGAGTCGAGTTTTTTGTTCTTCACGCCACTTTTTTATCTTCTCAGGTTCTTCTCGCTCAACTTTTGGGGTAATAACTGGTGATGGCGTATCTGTATGAATACATAATATAATTACATCATAATATGAATAGTAATTTAATAAGTTATGTTATCAAAATAACGCATAACTGTCCCGGACAGCGAATTCGTCAAGAAACCATCATCTCATGATGGCAGCGTTAGGCCTTAGAGGCCTGTTAAGCTTGATGATAATGATACATAATAAGAACTACCTCTGACATAAAATTGTTTTTTATTTCAATCTGAGATATCATGCTTTTTTTTTATTATAATATCGATTTGAGTAACTACTTTTTCCAAAAGTAATAAAAAAAAATGTATAGTAAAAGTTATACATATGTATGTTTAATTCTGTTACTACCATATTGATTGTGGCAGTTGATAAGTATAAAATTATTTCCTTTAGTTAGCTGTTTATTACACTATAATTTCATAATATTAAACCTAAAGCTTTTTACTTACCGTCATCACTATGTGTAGCTGTGCCGTTTGTTAATCCATTTTCTATAAATAACAAAAACACAAAATATAACAATACTTCAATCAAAATTAAATAACATTACAAGAATTATTGCAGACAGCAAATATAATATTTTTTTTATTATCTACTAAAAACTAATTATTTCCTTCAATCTTTTCTCCTGACATAAATGTAATAATATACTATTTAATGAAACATAAGCTTTTAAGTAATATATTTGGTAGCAAAAATATTTATTTGCCAACAGGGCTTTACTTTTATAGCAAGTATTTACTTGCTTAAACTTGTTTTCAAAACAATTCTCAAACTTGCAATACTCAGAAAAATGTCTAGTTTTAAAAGAAAAAATATAGATAAAAATTAATCATATTTATTCTACGATCTACTAGTATACTAAGTACATTACATAGTGACAAATTGTAACATAATTTAATTGTTTATGCAAAGGAATAGGAAAAAATAATTTTTTAAATATTATTATTCAAATTAATTAAAAAATAAGTATAGCAAAAGTATATAAAAAATCACACCCAAAAACAACAATGCAAAAATCATTATTTTTAAAGACATTAAATTATATAATCTTATGTAACTTCATCTAATATTAATAGTGGTAAAATTAAAATAACCCTGCTTCTCATTGTTGAGAAAGGGTCACCTATTCATTGAGTTGAGTATTATGAAATGTATGTGTCACACACAAATATTAAACTAAATTTAAATTACAAAACAACTTACAATATAAAACATTATCTGATAAATTTATTAGGGACTTTGTTGAATAGGGCCCACGCTTTTCTTTTTAGTTAAAAATTAAAGATGTTTAACATTATTTAAAATTGTAGTTAATTTTCAGTTGTTTTCAAAGTAATTAACATTTAAATAAAATATGCTACAATTGATTGGTAAATTGTTTTTGTAGTAAAATTATTTTTTACTTTTTAGTTCACTTTTTACTATTTTTTTTTTTAGAAAAGCATGTTTTTAAAAAAGTTTTTTTTATTTATTTATTTTATTTTTTCACTTTTTAGTCCTATTAAAGGTATTTAATAATTGCTGAATAGATTACTAAATTCATTTTGGAAGATTTGGAAAAAAATGAAATTTTAGTGAAATGACCCCCACATTTGACCATGTGTAGGGCGGCGACCTGGATATCCGAGTCCCAATATGATTACAGGATATTGTATTGTCATCTAAGATGAGTGTCTGTGCCAAGTTTCAGCCCTATACGACATCGGGAAGTGGGTTAAATTAGTTTTAGAAGATTTGAAAAATACCCGTATGTACGTACGTGTTAGCGAGCTAAAGAAAACCATGTAAAAAAGTTCAGCAGTGTTAATATATATTTGCAAATGTGAATAGGAATTATTCGTGAGAATTTATATTTAAAATGTTCTAGTAGGAACTTCTATTATTAGAACTTTTTGAAATAGTTTTGGTAAGAACGTATATTAACAAAACTTTTATCAAAGTTCTTTTGATAATATTTCTCGTTGAACTTTTATGTTAAAAACTTAATTGGAACTGTTTTTAAGAAATGGTTAAACTGTAAATTTTTCAAAAAGTTTAATTACTGTATCATACCGTGGTTTAATCATATACAATGGAAGCAATTATTTGTCACAAAGTAACTACATCTTATATAATCTCCACTCTATCATAGTTCTAAAAGAATACTTTTTAAGCACAACAGCGTGCTAATCAAAGTTCTAATATTATTAATCATGCGCTAATAAAGCATGTGTAGTTGCACACATTCCATGAACATAAGTGAATTACTAAGTGAAAATTTCATTAAGCACAATTTAGTATACTAGCAACAATATGTATAATTATAAAATTAAAAATATACATTCTTTATTAAATCATTAATATCATCATTAAATTATTAATTTTTAAATTAAATATTTGTAGTTTTATGAAGTATTTAATTAGTCTCACTTTTAAAAATAGTTATTCAATAAAATTATTCTAAAAGCAAGATTTTAAAAACACTTTATAGTAATAGCCGAAGATGAATAGGTATCAGTATTTATACTTTGTTAATGACAACAAATTAAATAAAAAAATGGTCAATTTTTGTTATTTCATTGTAATGAAACATAATGTTTGACAACTCACCATTTGCAGTGTTTGTCAATTGATTTTCTGCACTATCTATTATTTCAAAGCTGCTTCCTGAGCCTTATGTATAGTAAATGCACGACATGCAGAAAACATAAAAAATAAAAAAAAATAAATCAACAAAAGCATCACAAAGCAAGCAACTGACAATCATAATGAGTTAGATAAAATAATATTTTACCATTGGATAATGTTTGTGTAACACCAATTGGTATATTTGCTGTATTAAGATCATCTTCTAACCCAGCAAGCTGTGTTTGCTCACGGGCCAAAAATTCTGCAGCAGGATCAACATCTCCATCATCAAAATTATCTCCAAAGTTATCCATCGGAAAAGGTACTATAGATCAAATTCAATTACGATTTTGGTAGTAATAATGTATTAATACGCTAAAAAGAGGCGTTTTACCCAAAATAAAATTATATACTAATTAATAACTAATAACTAATAAATAATATAATTATCACCGATTTTAAAATATTGAATACCTATTTTAAAATCAATAGTATTATGTACGTAATAGTCATATACTTACGTTATGAATATTAATGGGATAGAAATGGAATTCACGGTGATGAATATACTCTTAAAACTGGTAACTTTCTAGTTTTTAGATGGACAAAACGGTCACTACACGCACGATGATAAGCTTCAGTAGAAATACCATTGTTATGGATTTAAAAAAAAAAGTTTACGAGATGCTTAATGTAATTATGATTATGTGGCAGCTGAATTATAGATTAGATTACAATGATGCATAGTTTAATATTAAATGGGAATTATTTTTATAAGTATATAACATCACTGTACAATTATTATCAATTTTATGAAGTGATATCTCCAATGTTTACCGTTGAAGTAAAATGCGATTGCGATTGGATTGTCTTTTACTCTAAACTGACATGTCTATTGTCTGTTGACGTCTCACGTCTATCGATTGAGTACTAAAAGGTATTATAATAATATGTATTGTGTAAAAGTAATTTTATTCTATATTCCTATGCTTGTATTCGTTTTCTTAATTGAAAAATTTTAAGCATGATAAAATTGAAATCTGTAATTAAACATTTTACAAATGAGCCAAAAAAATATTTAATACAAATTTAGTTATAATTTACTAATTTTATACTTTTTATACTTAAAACAGCCAAGTTGTATGGATTATTATTATTTATTTATTTATTAAAAAAAGGTGCAAGACGTGCTTAACAATGTTACCAGTAGCTAGCCATACTGTTGTTATTGGTACTTCTCAATACCATTCACTTTTAGATGGGGTTCAGATTATTAATTTAGTTTCTTCAAAAAAAGAGGAAAATGTTGATACTTTAAAAAGTTGAGTAATATTTAAAGGTTTATTATAAATAAATAGGTTAACTATAAATAAATAAAATTTAAAAATATTTAAATTGTATTAAAATTTAAAAATATTTAAATTGTATTAAAATTTAAAAATATTTAAATTGTATTTTAGATAAAGAAAATTGTAAATGTTTTCTCTTGGGATTGCATTGTTTAACGTGTCACATAGCTTTTGAAACCAATGAAGAACATAGAAACCATTATAAATCGGAATGGCATAGATTCAATTTGAAGCAAAAAATTCGAAATAAGGATACAATTACTGAATCAAAATTTTCATCTTTACAAAGTAATTCATTTGTATTTTTTTTACTATTTATAACTATATTGTATACTTTATACATAATTTAATGCATTCGTACTAGATTATATAAAAGATTGTACTGTGGTCATGGTCTGTGTGCAAATTTAAGACAGCTCACGAAATTAAACCAATCAATTAATGGCACACAAGATACAAATCTAATTTAAATGATGGGATACTGTAATAGTGGCAGACTATGAAAAAATTGTAGCTTAAGAAAACTTAAGTTCACCAATAAGGTTTTAAATTATTACTAATCCTAAAATGTTTAAACAGTGGTGTAACTAGAGACTAAAGTGCCTGGGAGCAAGACATTTTTTTTGCGCCCTATATTACATACTAACGAGTATAGTAAACTGTACAATAACGCCCTAAAATAAAACATGCTCCTTTTTGTAAAGACATCGCCAACAGTGCTAGGTTTTGTAAGAAGTCTCGAACAGTGTTAGTATCCGTAAAAACTTGAATGGTTCTACCCTTCGTAAGACGCTTCGATATATAGTATGCCACTGGTCAACTTAACAGTATACTTTTTTGTTAAACATAAAATAAGTCAAACTATACCTACTCGCATTTTTCATTTAACACCTCAACTTCATTATGTTATTTAATAAAAAATTATTTCTATTGCATTTTTAACTTTATTCATTACCTTTTTAAATACTTATCTATTAGTATTAAAAACAATATAATAGACCTTTAAAAGGTACTATATAAATATTTTTTGTAATCTACATTTTTTATGGTGAAATAGATGGTATTTAGATTTTTGTGTTATAACTTACAAGCATAAAATTAAATTCATTAAAAAAAAAAAAAATTGACTTCGGTAAAATTACTTCGTTAAATAAATATAAATTCTGTAAAACACATGTTCTGGCTTAAGATATTTTATTTTGAAAATGTATTTCAGGTAATAATATTGATAGTTCATCCAGTTCTGAAAGTGACAATGAAATTGATGATTATAACACTTATTTTTCAATTGATTCAAAATTATTTTTTGAGAATAAATGTGGAAATGCAATTGCATTGTATAAATGCTTAGTAACCACTACTAAAGTAAGTATAGTCATATACTTTAAAACTATATCTTAATTATTTTAACTGGTGTAACTAGGACTGGTTAAGAACTGTATATTTTATGACTTAAAAATAAAATTAAAGTAAATTATTATTTATTGTCTATAAATTATTTAAATAGGAGCTTCCAAAAGAAGAGAAAATTATTAGTTCACTGAAAACGATTAAAGACAAACCAATGTGGTTTATTGTAATGTTAGGTGGAGGACGTTTTTCTGCTGCTATATTTAAAGGTATTTGTGTTGTATAATAATTTTTTAGATAATGTATATAAATTATTATTATATATTATATACATTTATAGGAGAAGAAGCGATTGTTCACAAAACATTTCATTCATATACTGTACGTGCTAAACAAGGTAGTGCTCAAAGCACACAAGACCGATCTAAAGGTGGAAGTAAAAGTGCTGGTGCTAGTCTTCGTAGACATAATGAAGCTTCTCAATTAAAGGTAAAAATAATACCTTTATTTTTGTATTAAAAAAATTAATTATGATGATTTAGCATATACAAGAAATAGTGGCTTCTTGGATGGAGTATATAAAAATATGTGATCGTATATTCTATCGAGCAATTGGGCCAAATAATCGAAATATCCTTTTTGGTGGGTCTAACCCATTAATAACTAAAAATGACCATAGACTGTGTCAAATACCTTTTGGCACCAAAAAAGCTACTTATGGTGAAGTTAAAAAGGTCCGTGATCAACTCTCTACTATTTTAGTGTATGGTAAGTTTAAAATTATTTATCTATAAACATACTTTTACTTTTTAATTTAATAATTTTTAAACTTCAAGTTTAAACATAATTCATGTGGTCTATTATTGTTTTATGGCTCATATATTTACGACTAAATAAACTATTTATGTATTGGTAGAAAGCATATTTGTATACAATTTCAAGATTTAATCGTATTTGATAAATGAAATAACTTTAGTTCTAGTGAATATTTTTAGTACTTTTTTTTAGTTATTGATTTATACTCATTTGCGCTATAAATACCACGGTTTGTATTACTCTTAACTGTTTTACTTTTTTAAATTATTTTCTTAAAAAAATTCAATATTTTATTCAGAATTTGCTGAGAAACTAAACTGATCGTTAACCAGTTATGTATTATTACTTTTTTAGTTATTAATGGTTAAAGGGTAGGAAATGGGAAGTTAGGTGCAGTAAAGTATGCGTGTAGAGTTATTTTTATCTGCGCTTATACTCTACCGCACTCCACCTGCCATCCTAATCTTTATACTTGAATAACTTTAAAAGTAATTATCCAAAACTGGTTGTCAACCAGTCAAAATGTTCAGCAAACTATTCTCAATAAAATTTTCTCTTAAATTTTTTTAAAAAAAATGTAGCAAAAATCATAAGTAAAAACAGTAAAACCTAAACCACAGTATTTATAGCGCAAATGAGTATAAATTAATTTTAAAAAAAAATCTTAAAAATATTCACTAGTACAAAAGTTATTTAATTTGTCAGGTCTTTGTGGGAAATCCTGTATAATTAAAAATATAACTACTAACAATAGAATACTGTTTTTGTAGATTCAAAAGAAATTTTAGATAATTTCATTAAAAATTATATTGAAAATTTATACAAAAAGAAGAAAATTAAAGAACCAAAACCAAAAACTCTTACTCAAAAGAACTCTATATTTTTAATACCAGCTGAAGAACAGTCACCAGTCCTAGGTAATAAACATTTGAACTCTTTGCGACTTGGTGGTTAGCTACGTTGACCACCATTTTTTTCGTTTAATGCATGGTGGTTAGTAATGCTCATCACCGGATAATTAATATTTTTTCTTTTTTTATTAATGATGGCTTTTAAGAATCTGTTATAAAAATAAACTCAAGTTAAAGAAAATTTTGAGTCCTGAAAAAAGTTTTTGAAACTAAGAGGTTAATATCATGCGCCACCCTATACTGCAAAGAGTTAATTATTTCTTTTATTATGTTTTTTTTTTAGCTTCAATATAGCTTAGGACCTTCCTAAGGGTACTTTTTATCAGGGTTGGAAGAAACCCGTTTTTTGTTTAAAGCCTTACCCAGTTAAGTTAATTTGGGTTTTGTTTTTCATTATACCCTATAAGAGTCTAAAATTCACCTGTGTTCTTAAAAGAAAACTCTTTAGGTGGGTTTAAGTGATTTTTTTAACAAAAAAGATTGCATTAATCAAAAGGACTATTTTACCATTCGAGATAGTAAAGACAAACTGCGCTATAGGCTTGGGCATGAAAAGGCTGCTAAGCTTGTAAAATTTCATTGATTTCTTATAATACTAATATTATAATATTTTTTATAATTTATAGACTTTCAGACTTTAGTCAAACTATAGTGACTTTACAAAACGTACTAATCATTTTTAGTTTTAATCAGGGCAGTGAATATTAATGCATTATATGAGTTAAATATTCATGCGTTTATGTACTAAAAACAGGCACATATGCTTTAAACTAAGAACTAATAAAATTGTATCCAAAAATATTGTGTTTAAAAAAAACAAATGAAATTATAATTTTGTATTCAAAATATATAACTTAAATTTTAATGTAATAGTAAAAAAAAAATTGGATTACAGAATTTAGCCTACAACATCTAAAATGAATTTATCTATGATTTTTTTCTTAGACCTGTAAGTCAATACCGATACGTAAAAAATTGAAAAATAATTTCAAAAATTTTATAAAAATATGCGATAATCTGTGCTAAGTTTAAATATGCAAAAATATTTTAATAATATTATTTAAAATTAGTATAAATTAAATACTGAGTGATACTTATTGTTTAATGGTATATTACATTTTAATAATCCATCTTGGGTTAGGCTGGATTTTTTTTTCTAAATTGGGTAGGCTTTTTTTAGGGGGGTTGTGTTTAACCTTCATCTGCTGGTGCCTTTTAAAGTAACACTACTGCTCGGGACACAGCAATTTGGCCGCCTGTGATTTTTTTATCATTTCCATGAGTTTTTTTCATTTAACATGCATGTTTCGAAATAATTAGGACCAATTAACTCTTAACACAACATTGCGAAAAAAATGTTGACCTAAAATATTTATTTAAAAAAAAAAAACAGAAATCTTAACCTTCATCCGACGCAAATTGGCTGTCCTTTTAAATTTTTGCAAACATTTTTCTACTAAGCGCCGAAGGAGTGGTGGGAGGGTTATGTATTTTCTATTTACACTAACCCCCCCCCCCTATATATGCCTCCCTTTTTACAATACACATACAAATCATAAGTATAACACATACGGGCATAATTTCTCCTTTGCGCTCACTAGGGCGGCAATTTGGCTGTTGTACTGGCTCAAACTCGGTGTTTGTAACTACACAGAGCTACCGGTTTGGACTGGTTCGACCACATTCTAGAGGAGGGATGTCAATGAGAATACATGCCCCTGCTCCCACTTTCTTGGCACTCTGGAGAAGAATATTCTCAAAAATTAAAAAGGGCGGCCAATTTGCCACCCGTGCAAGCGGATGAAGGTTAAAAAAAACCTACAGGGTTTTGGTTGGGTTTTTAGCCAACTCCGTTTTTAGTATAAAAATATAGGGAGCTGCCTATTTTGTCAGCTTATATATGGCCCTGTTTAACAAGTATGCAATATTTGATGTGAAGCCAAGAATATAGTAATCACTAATACAAATTTAATGTTTAATTTTTTAGATTATGGTGATGATAAAGAAGTTGTTGATGAAGTAGAGTTATTACTTAGTGAAGATGAACAATCATCTAAAAGTAATAATAATACAGAGCCTAAAAAAAGAAACAAGAAACGCAAAAAAAAAAAGAGTTCCAAACACCAACCTACTTATGAAGATGCTAAGGTTGAAGAACTAACCCAAAAACTGCTATCAACAATCATAGAAAAAGATGTAAATGCATTAAAAATATGTTTATCTGATATTATAACCGAAGAACAGTTAGAAACCTACATCAATTGTCAAATTGATGGTTTAGGTAACACAGTCTTACACTTAGCTTCTTCAAATGGCTTACATGATCATATATAGTAAGATTATGTTACATTACCTTATCTTCGCATGTTAACATAGACAAAAAAAACCATATTTGTTTTTAAAATCAGTTTTTAACTTTTGTAAGTTAAAACTTTTTTATTGTTATTTATTATAAAAAAACGAGTCGGTAGATCTGCGTAAAGGAAATAGAAAAGTTTTTATTGTATATTTATACATAAACATAATTAAATATTAAGTTTATCTAGTATCATATATCTTAGGTCTGATGTGGAGGCTAAAATGTTATAATTAGGCTTATAAACATATTGTGGTATTTTCCCCATGTAACTTTTGTATTTTATGTATATCCAGCGCCACCAGAGTCCAGCACCAGTAATATAAGTTGACAAGTGACCACAAAACTGTACAATTTACCACTGATATCATTACTAAATTCTTAGTTATTTAACTACTATAACTATAAATATCTTTAAAAAGTTCTTATACGATTTTAATGATCGCAGTTAATCATTAAATTAAATTTCTCTTCAGTCTAATGTATAAGAATTCTTAGTTAACTATATCAATCCATATCATAAAATAATTAATTTTCTCAGAAACAAGCATCTCCCAAGACATATTTTGGGTCATTAAAATAAATTAAGTGACACTCTAAAAAAATTAAAAAAATGATTTATTAAAATGTTTATAGCTTATTATTACAACATGGGGCAAATCCAGCCATAAAAAATAAAAATTCAAAGACACCCTATGAAGTAGCACCAGATAAACCATCAAGAAAAGTTTTTAGAAAATTTATGGCTGATTTCCCACTGAAATACGACTATGTGAAAGTAATAATTATTGACTAAAAATTAAAACGAATTCTTAATATAGTTCAGGTATTTATTATTTGAACATTAAATTATATTAAATGACATACTTTGTATCTTTATTTGTAGGCTCGTTTACCAGGAGCATTGACTGAAGAACTGGAAGAAGAACTTAAAGAAAGGAAGAAAGCAAAACAAAAACGAGCAAAAGAGAGAAAAATTATTGAAGAATTTAAAAAAGAAGAAGAAAAGGAAAAAGAAAAATTTCTTCAACTTAGCGACCGAGAAAAAGTAAAAAAAATCTTGATGTATTTTATTATATTATCATTTTAATGTAAATTGTTTATTTTTTAGTGTGCTATTGCAGCAGAAAAACGTTTTTTAATACTTCAAGGAAAATGTATATTGTCTCGATGTTTTTGTTGTGGTATAAATATCGATAAAAAAATGGTTTTTGAATATTTAGATTATAAATTTTGTAGTACACAATGTGTTAGAAACCATCGACAAAAAAATTCAACAAAATAAAATATAGTTGTCAATTAAATAATTGTTGATTTTTAAAATATGTATAATGTAAATTTAATTTAACTAATTGAAGACTAAGTTTTGGCATTCTTTTAATTACATTTTATTCAGCACTCCTTTTAGGTATAGTGGAACCTTTACTTATAAATCAACTTAATAGTTTTGTATTCTGGGAAACTGAGTCATGTTTTCACTTTTTTTCTTTCTGGACTACAGAAATACAGTCCAATACTTAAAAAATAGCAACCATTTCCTTCAAATATTGAATTGAAAATTAATGTGTAGTTAAAAAATATAAAACAATTTCAAGTCTGAAGTAAAATATTTTTATAATGAGGAAAAACAAAAAAAACGTATTAAGAAGACGCCACACCGGCCATTTCTAAGGAGTAAAGTATTGTCAATTTTTCGAAAAATCTTAATTTAGAGTTTCAACTATAATGTATACTTATATTAATACAGTAACGAGGATACTTTGTTGATTGCCATTTTTTGTTTTTTATAATACTATCACAGTCAGTATTTCTATAGGATAAATTACAATTTTTTCCCCATCAAAACTACTTTGCATGGATTCGTTTTTCTCAGGCTCCGTTTATAGTTAAAGAAAGAAATTAATACATATTATACATGACAAAATTATTTGTGCTCCAGCATCTGTATTTTTTCGTTATACCTAATATAACCGACGCTAGGTATATCATTTTTTTTAAAAGTCCTTTCTTAATTAATTAATTATTCATTAACTGGTTGAAATATTTAAAAAAGGGCCATGGTAGAGCACAGACAATGTTGTCTATATTATGTGAAAATTTGATTCCTTAGTTTTAAATACAGCCTTTGTAAAATTACACCGCACAAGGCGGGTTTTTGAAGAAAATAACGAGTGTGCCCTCTTAATACGTTTATGGTTTAAAATATATCTTAAAATTAATTTATACATTTAATACAATTAGATAGATTAATTTATTTTAGTAACTTCCCTGATCTTAATGTGCAGGCTTAACAAGAAAAAAGTCATAAATCGCGGAGTATAATTTTCTAATGAAAAACATAAGTCAGAAGTATTGTATATAAAAACCAACAATTTTCTGGCCCATGTCTTACTGCGCAAGCTCAACAACTTCTACCCAGGCAAAGTTTACTGCACTTCATTCCCCATTCGCAATAAAACAAAATAACATTTTTAAGTTTGCTCGGCCATTAAATTCGAATATGGCGGATACCAAACTTTGTACAGAATGCTCCATCCGTTGTAAATGATAAGTTAGAGAAGAGAGTATAATAAATAATCAGAAAGCGATCAACCCGCTAATGCGCTTTGATTGGTGTATTACATGGACATTTTATAAAATTGGTTGCGCATTGAAACTAAATTATGTATTAAAGTAGGACTAGACACTAGTGTTTCAACTTTCAATCTTATCATTTTGTCCAAACTATTTATCTTTAATCATATAATTTTTTCTCTCTCCCACATTGTATAATACTAATTACTTATATAATGTAATGTTTGTTTCATCGTAATACCATTGATTAAATCAGAGGTAATACTCTATGATAGTGATAGATGATCAAAGCTCGCATGAGATTCCCACATTTATTCTAACCACTTGGCACTGATCATTGAATCTCTACTACCAGGCCATTTCTAATACGATTACTATACACATTTCAATGAATAACTTTTATCGTCTTTACTCTCATAACTTAACATAATAATTCAAATTTCAAGTGAAATCTAATTTAGACATATATAAAATGCATTATACAAACTTATATCAATATTTTTAACTGATAATACTAATTATATAAGAAGTCCAAATGCTCGATTATAAATTCTATATAAAGTTCTTTATAATCGTGCTTGGAAGTGACCCTTCTGCTTTAATCTATTTAATGTCTTCTGATAATGTCATTATTATTATCACTTATCAGTAATGTTTATGATAAAAAGTCAATAACTTTGTGTTTGTGTACATATAAGTTCATGACTGAATCATAAATTGGTTAGATTTTTAAAAAATGCATGTTGTTTCAATCAATTCTATGTTTTAAGTTATCTTAATACCAATATATAATGGAAGTGTTCATATGAAATAAATTATGGATGAGCAACAATCGGTATCTGAAAGTGTGGAAACGAATTCGGTGTGTGAAGAAGAACGAGCTAGAAAATTGTTTCAAGCTTGTGATGGCGATGGAGATGGTTACATAGATAGGTAAGAATCGTTTTTAGTATAAATTTATAATCTGTGATCAATTAAAACCATAATAATATTATATTTACCTATATATTAATCATTAATTACTAATACTATGTATTATTATCTTATTGATTTTCATTGTGTAACTGATTTGCTAATACACTTTATTACTTTGCAGTTTGCTTAACTCTTTTTAGATTCTTTGTAGTAAATAGTAATATCCAACATGTTACTTCCAGACTTGCTAAATACAATATTTTATTTGGTATTGCTTCATTTCTAGCCGAGATTTGTTGACTATATGTCGTCAACTTAATCTTGAAGATAGTGTTGATGATTTAATGAAAGAACTAGGAGCTGATAAACTTGGAAGAATATCTTTTGATGAATTTGTTAGACGTCGTTTAGAATTGCGGACTGAAATAAATGCTTTACGTGTTCATAACTATGATCCACTTCCAGAATATTTACCGACTAGTAGTGATAACAGTTTAGGTAAGATATACAGTTGTAATTAATAGTTATATCATATTAAAAGGTTGTCTTTTGTAGGAGCCTTGTCTGTTGGTAAACACGAAAGTTGGGAATTTGACAGTGGTGCTAGAGATCTCAGCCCAGAACCTAATTCTCTTCGTATGCAACATTTATTGCAAACTGGAAGATCAGCTAACACTGGAAGTTTACTGCATCTTGCTAACAAAGTAAACCAATTAAACTATAATAAATTAGACCAATATAGAATAAGGTGATTCTTCTAATGCCCTACACCAGTTTTCTCTTTAAATATATGTTACAAAAAAATGTAATATTGGTTATTTAAATACAAGGTATATGTTGCAAGAGTAAAATCAATATGGCATGGGCTAAGAAATATTAAAATATTTTGAAAAGATCATGATGGAGGGATTTTGTAGGTAGACCGAAAAAGAAGTGGGTGGACGTGATAAATAAATACATGAAGGTGTGTGGATTGAATAGAGAAATGGTGATGGAAAGATTTATCTCGCCAACCCCATTTATATAGGATAAGGCGGAGAAAAATGAAGTAGGAAGATAACCCCTCGGATTTTAAGAACCATTACTATTATATAAAATTGTGTTTTATTAAGAAAATCAAACAAAGTTTCAGACTGCCAGAACTTCACAAAACAATATTTTTTATTTTTTGTTGGGTAATTAAATTAAGCAATTTAATTCTATATTCTTATATTCAATAAAGTATGAAATAGGATTGTCTTTGTCACATTTTTCAATTGCATACAAGGTTTAAAATATGTACATATACCTTATAATAAACAAAAAGTTTTGTACGTATCCATTTTTTTATTGATAAAACTAAATTTATAATACAAATGATTTTAGTTACATTTGGCAGCTTTGAAGTCGTTAAAAACTGAAATCTCAGAACTGACTAAACAGCTACGTTTAGCCACTGAAAAAAATGAAGCTCTCGAAGAATCAAAAAATCAAATTAAAGTAATAGTTATAGGAGTTATGATTCATATTTATAAATTGTTTTTTAAACTCTTCATTTTTTAGATCGACATTGAAAATGATATGAAGCAAAAATATGAAGAAAGAATAATTGAATTGCATTCTGTAATAGCAGAACTTGCTCGTAAACTACAGATTCATAGATCTCAAATAATTACCGAAGAGGTAGAAGAAAGTCAGTCAGGTAAAGAATACTTAAAATTTAGTATTAAATTTTAAATAAATTATCTTTTATTTATTTTTATCCTTTAAAATAGATATTCAAAGTGTTGAAACATCTTCATTTATTCAAGAATCTGTTGCATTATCAAAAGATGTATGTATTTAATTATTTTATTTTAAATTTGAATTGTCTATTGGTTATGGTTAAATTTGAAGTATTATATTATGTTCTATACTCAGTGTTCTTTATATTAGATTTCTTGTAGAAAAGTTTTCTATAAACTTATCTAACCCATTATTTATTAATTATTATTTTAAAATATTATATAGTATAATATACCATTTTTTTCTTTTTATTTATGTAGGATTCATATAGTCTTTTTTTATATAATATATTTTAAACCTTCTTTTTGTAAAATTGATTTAACCATCTCCAATAACTCTAAAAATGTTGTATAGTCCATACGAAGATAGTTTTTATAACCAGATAGTTGTAATAATCACAATTCTTCAAGGAGATTATGACAGAAAAAATATTTCTCTTGAACCATTCTTTCATCTACAACTTTTTTTCACAGCTAAATGCTTGTTCAATATCAATAATTGCTTCCATACTAGGTACTATTACCATAAATAGATTGATTAAAAAATTGATTGAAGTTTTTTTTATAAATCTTGAAAGTAACCTACACACAATATATATATTTATTTTAATAATGATTGCAAACTCTTGATTAACAATTTAAGATTGATCGTGTATGGCCAGCTTTAAAGAAACAAGTTCAAAAATTAGCTAAAATAATTTTTTTTTAAATGCATGGTCTACCTAAGGCAGACTTCATCAAAATTTGTCTATTTGTACTCAAGAATATATTGTATAATAAATAATTATCATTATTATTTATACTTTACTATTTTTAATACTTATATCTATGTATCTTGTTTTCTTCTTGTGACATTTATATTTAGTCAGGTTTAAGTTAAAATAACTTATAGTATAAATATATATAGTATTATTAAAAACCCAATCCACAAAAATTCTTACTTTTACTATTTATTTTTAACTTTAATGAGTGCTTTTTGTAACTAAAATAATTTATAACTAGGGTGATAGTATTTATTGTTTCAATGACAATGAAATAAGAAAAACTATGTATGTTGATGTTCATGCTGAGTTGGCTTTAAAAGATGAAGAATTAAAGAGAACACAACAAAGTTTGAAAGAAGTAACAGAAGAAAAGGAAGAGCTTTTGATGAAAGTATGTTTAAATATAATGATCATAAATTAAAAAATAGTATGCTAACTGTTAGGCTTTTATTATACTTCTTGGTTGTTTTATTGTTAAAATCATTAAACATTTTAAATACAGTTCTATATATAAAAAAATAGCCAAAAAAGTAATAGTATTTTTAGTAGTTTACATTAAATCAACTTTAAATGTTAAAAAATATTAATCATTCACAATAAAAATGAAATAATTTATACTGAAATTGTAAAAACTATTTTATTTAATGGTTTTATTTATAGTTACAGGATGCGGAGAGTAGTTTTTCTCCAGGTCCTATGTCTCCTACGCGTTTATTAATAGAGACATCAAAATTAGCAGAAAAAGTAAAATTACAGAAACTTATTGAAGATAATGCAGAAGTGAATAATACAAATGTATAATAAATAATAACCTTAAATAACAATTTTTTTATACATTCGGTTGATTTAACTCTTGATATTATAGCTATGTCAAGATACGAAATCTGATACACAGCTTGTTCCAGTTGTTCCATCTAGTTATGATTTGGTAGAGCCTCCCAGTAAAGACAATTTAATGCACCAAGTTGAACAACTACAAACTCGCTTAGATCATGTGCGGTCACAAATGGAAGTTATGGAATTGATGTTTGATCAATGTGCTGCACAAACTGACAAGTAACAATAAAGTTGAAATTTTCTCCATTTTCACCCAGCTTGATAACCATCTAAGGACTAAGGCTTAATTTACAGATATGCTAAAATCTCTTTAAACAGATTAATTTAAAAAAAATACTAATTATAAATAATTCATGTAATGCTTAACTCTTCAAATTTAGGTTAAATTCAAAATGTAAATAGAACATTATAATCGTGATAACTAACATTTGCTCAGATGTTCTTATTGTGTATGCGTTGTGTAACAGGTACATTTACCTGTCACCCGTTACCACTCAATCCAAACATGCATACTTAGTCAATAAGAAAATTATAGGTAGTGGACAGCAGACACATACGAGACAATTAACTAAATAGGACGATACGCTAATTAGTTGAGACTTTACCATCATCGGACCGCAATTGATTAACAAACATAATAATATATTAATACTCTGTTGCCACGCCTTATATACTTTATTTACTTTCATTGTGTGCGCCCACTTGACTCCGCTTCTCCAAGACCAGCTGATGAATCTCAGGGTTCCAGGTAGAAGTATAATATATATACTCTACTAAGTATATATACTTAAATATATAACTATATATTACTAAATATATACTTCTACCTAGTTCCCTGATAAATATATATATACAGCCCTATTGATAGGGGCTAGCCACCAATTTTCTATTAGAGATTTCTTCATTTAATCCTATCGGCAACCGCTTTGTCTAGCCTAGCTAGCTGGCCAAGCAGGCTTGTTACAGTTGTATAGTTTGTATTATTCTAATAATCATAATATGTTATTTTGGCTATATCTTTCATATTCTTGCTATTTTAATTTTTAAATCTGGTGACTCATTTTTAGTTGTAACTTAAAATCTATTAACTATCTGTTAACCATGAAGAAATATAATTAAAATGTTTAAAGAAATGAGAAATGAATATAACTCCATACATAATAACATTTAATTTAAATACAATAATTTAAACGATTTTTAGACTTTATTTGTTATTGGGAAAATATGAATCAAATATGATTGCTCTAAAATTAGAAGTGGAAACAGGAGAAGAAATAATGAACTGTTATTCAATGTTATTATCTATTTCTGATGGAACTGCTACTGAAGAAGAAATAAAGTAACTTATTGGTTTTTATTATTGTTATTTGCTCAGATTATAATTTATTTTTATAACTAAATATTAATGTATTACTAGAATGAAAGATACAATTATACAACAACTACATCACTTAGATGAAGAAAAAAAAAAAATTGGATCAACTGTCGTTGCTCTAGAGTCATTTCATTCTGAAGAAGACGTCCCAAAACCTAGAGGTCATAGCCAAATAACACGGCTTGATTTAGAAATGGCTGTTCTTGTGGAGGAGCTGATGGGGGTCAGAGAGGAAAAATTGGACTTACAAGAGCGATACTCTGAACTACAAAAACATTACTTAGCTTTAGAAAAACGTTTATCTGAAAAAGAAGAAAAATCTAAAATTGATATGGATACAATAAGAACTTTAGAACAACAAATCAAATTGGATAATTATGAGAGTGTTAATGTTAAATTACAAAAACAATTAAAGGAAGTTACAACAGCATTACAACAAATTACGAAAAATGCTGATGCAAGATATAAACAGAGTAATTCTATGATTGAAAAACTGAAGACTGAAAATAGGTTGTATTGTGGTTTGTTTCTGTTTTTTTTTTATTAATAAACTATCTTGATATATTTTTACAGTTCACTAGAACGTAGTTTAGAACGAGCGAAACGTAAATCACAATCACGCCTTAAGAAAGTGGAATCTGAAATTGAAATTATGGTTGAAAATCATTCACTCCAGGTAATTCAAATATAATTATTTTAGAGAAATAACTTTCACCTGTCACGGGATGGAGGGTGTGGTGGTGGAAGTGGACATATGGGGAACAACAGAGTTGGTAAATGCACAGAAGTCTTATCTCATCAAACGATAAATGTAATTAATAATTATTAACTCCCCCCCCCCCTTAACCGTGTATTTTTTTATAATCCGTAAGTAATGAACTCTACCATAATTTATATGTATTATATGTTCTATTTATAGTTCACATTTTTTATGACTATTTATGTAGTATGTATTACATGTGTATTTATGTAGTGTGTAATCATATGAGTTTTTATTTTTAAGGTAAAAATGTTAAAAGAGAGAATAGCAGTACTTGAAAAGTCCATTTTGATTTGTGAAAGTAAAAATAAGAATACAGAAAGAAATGAAACTACATTATAAATTGTCCGCGTCCTATGAAATGGAATATGATGAATTGCAATACAGTTTATCCCACAAGTACAATCAAATTGTTGCAATTCACAGTACGACAACTATATATTTTACAAAACTAAAATGTTTTCACTTTTTCATGTCTAGTCTAATTAAAAGCGTTGAGCCTTATTATACAAATTATTTTTTACATTGTAAAGAATATAAACTATATGACTGAAATGTAGTAATTAAATTTTGATAACTTAACAAACATTATTTGTAAAATAAAATAACTATTAGCTTTTTTACATATTATTAACAACAAATCAAACCCCATATCTAGTGCAATTTTTTGATAATGTTTTTGTATAATTAAAAAAGGTGTTTGAAGATACATTTTCTTTAATGTATACAAGTTATTTAATAATACATGTTTTTTGTACTTTTTTTACGTAAATATATAAAGCAATGAAAACAAAACAAATGAAATATGAATATTTTATTTTCAAATATATAATTACAAATACATTTTTACAGATATTTTTTTCAAAATGTTTTACTTAAATTTACATTGTCATTGGAAGTTACTACACTTAATCAGTTTCAATCCTCTCAGGAATAGCTAATTCATAGGTTCTTATTTGTTTTTCAAGATGTGCACAAGCCAATTCTATTTCATAGTTTTTACTTACTAATCCTACCCAATTAGCTTCTAAATCACGTAGCTTCTCTCCAACTTGCATTTGTACATTTTTACGTTGAAAATTAACTTCTTGAACTTGTTTTCTAAAATAGTTTTAATTATTTTATTATATAGTATGCAAATTTAGTATTGAAATAAATAAATTAATAGTATTGCTACTTTACTTACCTAAGTTTAGTAACTTGTTGTTGAGCTGCTGCTACACATTTAACTAAGACTTCTAAATATGATTTCCAAGCTTCTGTACCAAACTCTGTCATCAGTTCTAAATTAGTGATTCTATATTAACAGAAAATAATAAACAATATTAGGCTCATAATGAAATTAATGAACTCTGAAAGGTTTTGCTGTTCAAATGACATTCAAAGGGGCATGGGCAAATTTCTTGGGTCAATTTCTTTTTCATAATAACTCATTTATTACATCTCCACTATAATTGAAATTAAATTTTTTAATTAATATTAAATTTGGAAATTTAATCCTTCATCAACATTTTTAACAAACACTATGGCCTGAGTCCCCGTAACTGGGTGCCTGAATATACAATATGGATCTAAACAGTCTATTATCAGTATACCCAGCCAGGAACCATAATCCTAGGTGAAGACTAGCTTGCTTGATGGTAGGGATGACATATACTAATAACAAACTGTTAAAATCCTAAGAATCCAGAGTCCAGACCCATATAACTGACTAATAATAAAGACACTTTGTTAAATATAACATGTCTTAGTTAAAATATTCAAATACTTTTTTACACTCATAAATAATACCTAGTAGCTTGATGTTCAAGCTGGGCCATTGAGTTTTCTAAACATTCATTCCAGGCAGACATATCAGTAAGTTTTCCGGCTGGTGGTGGCGGTAATTCATATCTTTTCATGCTCATTGTTTCCATGGGCAAACGCTGTTGCAGCCTATCAAATTCTGCACGCATCATTTCGGTCTGAAACATTATAGATGTTAATTTTAATAAGTTTTCAAATTTTCATAAGCCAATACATCATCTAACTATATTATCCGCATGACAGTAATAGTGAGATATTAACATAATTAATGTAGCCCTAGTTGAGCTTTCGTCATTTTTAAAAAAAAATCAACTTTATAAAATCCCTATTTTTCAAATATACATATTAAGTTGACCATTTAGACTAATTGGGCCAGTGACTACTTGCAGTCTGCAGAGGTAAGTTAGCTTTATTATTTCCGTCCGGTAAGCTATTTTTTCTGCAGTAGAGGGGATCGTGAGTTCCCATCTGAACAAGAGTCCCAGCAGAGACTACATTTTCATTTGAACTATTGTTTTTGGCATAAAGAACTTTTTATACATTTTTTTTCTCCAAAAATCTATTTAGAAAAAACTATAGTAAAGTAGTTTTAGGTCTGTAACTCAAAAACTAGCTGTAAGCAAAATATTTGAAAACCAGTCATCAGTGCAAAAAAAAAATCTAAAATTGCTTTGAAGCTAAGCAAGATCATATTTTCTACTTAAACAGAAGAGATCATGTAATAACAATATATAGTTACTTCAAAAGCTGTAATATTAAGCTGTGGTAAATGTTCAAGGTAGTTTTTGGATGGCCTATAACGTCTCTTTTCATCTTCAACCATGCTCATAGCCTGAAAAAAATGAAAACAATGTACCTATTCATATTGAATAATTCGTTATAAATTATTACCACAGAAAAATAATTAATAGAAAATATTTAATAGACTTGCATACATTTGGTTAATACTTACAGCTTCGCGAATACCCGGCTCGTCGTATCCTTGATCTATATAAGGAAGAGCATCAACAATAACTTCGCCGGCCATTTCACAAAAAGTAAAACTTTAAACTATTAATATAGCCGTTATGACGGACAAATTTAAATGGTTCAACAGCAAAAACCGTTGTCAGTCGCAACTCGTAATGCGGACAAATTCGGATAAAGTTTAACGTCTAACGATGGAAATTAAAATGCTTGTTTAAATTGTATTGTTTGGCAATCAAGTATCAACAAATATATTTTGTGATGATAATTGATACCCTGAATCTGTAACCATGAAATTGCGGGATATGACATGTTTTATCTCAGGTTTTATAACCATGGTCTATACTACACCCATTGAAAATAATGCATACCATGAACTGGCGACCATTATATTATCACGATCACGGTTCAGGCCTTTGATAAGATAAACACACACATGGTAAAATTAAAAAATCGTTATTCGTGGATAAGTTAACATTGTTATTTTTATAATGACTTGTGAATACAATTTTTTTAGATTTTACATTAAATGTATTTTTTTAGTGTTAACAAATTATTAATTTACACTTATCTGACAAAAGGGTTATTATTTGGTTTGCTCTTAAGGAAACAGAATTAAATCATTTTTAACTGTTTTTTAACAATGCGTATAAAACTGAATCGTAAGCTCTTATCGCCTGATACAATATGTCCAGAACTCTGTTGGCTATATGTAGATACTTCAAAAATATTGCTTATAAAAGAGTTAAAAGTTAAAGTTAAATCTGTTCTAAGGGAAAAACACGATATAGAACTATGTTTTGATGGTATACCATTCCTAGATGAAGATGAAATTAACGCTATTAACGATAGTGAAGAAATAAGGTTTGTATGCTTATACAGTTAAATAATATTGGTTTAGTTTTGATATTTAAAAATGATGTACGCAATTGATGAACATATGACAAAATACAAATTATTATATCAAAACCAAAAATCCTAAGTTTATTATATTCTAAAATATTGGCCTAACCGTCAAGAATGTACAAATAAAAGTAATGACTTATCAATGTATTTTAATCCCTTTCCCTTCAACTTTTAATGCTATCAATATACCTGCAGGGGTTTTAAATATGTTGTAGGCAAAATATATTATTTTTGCTTTAACTAAAAAGTAATATTTTTATTTTCTACCATTGAAATAATATGTTTGTCTCATTAATTAGGTACATTTTTTTTGACATTAATAAACAATAAAAGGACAATTTTTACTTAGTGGTCTAGTCTGTAACTTTATATAGCACATTAAGTTAATTCTTTTATTTTCTATAGGTCATAAAAAGTATCATCATTTAGACAAATATATTACTTTAGCGGTAGAAATAATAATTTTTTAGTTCAACCAAAAAATTGTACATTTTGGCTCAAATGTTCTCCATACGTCAGACTATCTTATCTTAGCTGTCAGCCAGGTTTCACATGCATATACAATGCATACTAAACTTGATCAAATCCTTTTTTAGACTTCTTGAACAGCATATTAATATTTGTATCAAATGATAATACACTTGTATTAAACTAAAGTTCTAGAGGAGTGGCGGAAGAGTTAAAACTTTTTTAAGTGAATGTGTTGCTCTCTTGCTCTTCTTGGAACTGTACATGCTTTCTTAATTACATAATGTAATTGATAAAAAGTAATAAATTGTTTTAATTTTCTTATAATTTTAGTGTGATAAGAAAAGAAACAAACAGTATTGCTGAACCACAAATAATTAAAATCGACATTCCTGAGACACTCACCAGCTTTATGAATAGTACTAGTAATAATTTATCGAATGGAAATCTAAAGTTCATTCCTGAAAATGGAAATAATAGTTCTGCTTCTTCTGTTGTTATAAATTCTGAAAAAAAGAAACGAAAACGAACACATAAAAAAAAAAATAAACAAGAAAATAATCATGTGAAAATGGTAATTAATTTGTAGTCAGATATTTAATCAATTAAACCCCAATTCCCAACTAAATTTTTTTACTTTTTTAGGAAAATGATAGAAATCAAAGTGAGATTCCTTGTTTTTCTTCTGAGAAAGGAAATGGTGATCATAAGCGATTTAAATTGGAAGAAGAAAATAATGCTCAATCTTTTGGTTGTTCGGAATCAGTATCTTCAGATGAAGAAATACTTCATGTAACAAGAGATGTGTATCGTTGTAGTGCACCACCAATGCCTAATAAAAAAGTTTCCAGCATTAGCTTAGACGGTATTTAGTAATAAATGCATCAATTTAACCATCTGTTAGTCGCGAAATATTTTTTTAACGCTGGTAGTCCCCGGGAACAGCTATACGCCAACACTTTTTTTTTTCTAAAACATTCGAATTGTTGTTTTATTATTTTTTTTGTATACCATGAAACACAATAATATTTTTATATTATATATTAAAAAAAAAAAAATGATTTTATTACATTTTAAAAAAAATCAAAATTTTTAAAATTCTATAGCCAATTTTTTTCAAAGTTTTGCTTGAGAATGACAAAATATAATACGACCTAACCCAAAAATGAAAATAAATAACGTTGAGCATTTCTAACTAGGTATACGAATGTTGGGATACTATATGTGTTATATAACTAAATGGATTAAATAATGAGGTACATATGTATGTACCCCTACGCGACTAACTGGTGTCTTAATATTTTAATCTATATCAATACATAGTTTGAATAAATATTATAGTTTGGAAACCACAATATAAAGAATCAAATACTAAGTTTAATACTGGCGTACCAGTATTTATACGAGGCCAAACAAACAAACCTTCTTCAGACATAATACAGAATAACACTTTCGTTGACAATAAGATGCAACAAACTAGTGTAAATGAAGATTGTGATATGTTAATCGTAGATTGGAAGAACATGTCAACCGTTAAAGTTACGAGTTTATCAGAATTAAAAAATTATGATTTATTACAATTTAAAGTAAGTTTTGGTAAGTGAATAACTATTGTATTATAAATTATATAATATAAGTACATTTTCTTAGACTTTAGCTCTGAATGAAAATTGTGAACCTCAAATGTCATCTGTAATAACATCACGATTAATAAACATTGATAGTGACACATTATATATTGAAGTGTTGTGTAAGTTTGTGTAGTGAATTAATATTTCTCCTTTCTATTAAAAATTAAGTATCAACAAATTCAATTAGTTTGTTAATTTTCAGCTGGCATCAAAGAGTTTATGACTCTAAATCCGAAGTTCAGAATGGATGATGAGGAAGAAGAAATTGAAACTTGTCGTAGTGTAAGATATAGTGATCTTTGTGATTTGGTCAAACTCATTTAGTTGTTATGACAATAAAGGTACATTTTTTTTTATGAAAATAGACTTAACAGTTTCTGTTTATTATTATGTCATTATTTATGACAAATTTAAGAAAAATAAATGATTTTGTTATAATGAATATTTTATGTATATTTTCAACAACATTAATCATTACTTATATAGTTAAAAAGTTGACTTTTAGAAGTGCTCCCTTTATTTAGAAACAGCATAAAGGTAATATTTGATAAAAACTAATCTAGGAGCCATTTTAAATATACTTACTCATTTAAGGTAAATGACTGTCGTAAAATTTAAATGGCTCTCATTGGTATGTTTAGTAAACATATTGTGAATGTTTTTTTTTATAGAAATGTTGCAGCTTTCCATATCGGGCTTAGGCGAATTTTTATTTAATTAATTTTGATAATTAGTTAGATATATAAATCTATCTAGATTAATAAATTTCACAAAAATATTAAATGCCTGGAACAAAAATGTATAAACCAAAATTAAATTTGTTTTTTAGCCACCATAGAAGTGTTAAACCTTATGAGAAAGCACTTTTTTTTTTTAAATGAATATTCTACCTTTTTTAATTATCTTCAATTTAAGGTTTTTTTAGATGCTAATAGAAACTCATTAGCCGGTTGCCTAATTATATAGGCGTTCTTAGTTCTTACTTGTAAGTAATCAGAATATAGATAAACATGTTAAAAAACTAGAATGAGTACAAAATATTTAATAAACTCAAGTTGTTTTCATTCAACATACTTATTATTTTTATTTTTCATAGGTATTCCCCCATTGATTTTAAAATATTATAGACTATAGTATAATCTATACGTATATATATTATAAAATCAATAATATTACTGTTAATAATAGCATAGTCATATTAGTTATTTAGTAGAAATGGGTCTATGACCAAAATTTTAGTTCGAGGATTATTTGCTTTTTTTATGTAAAAAAAATCTGGTTTTAATATTGAAAATAATGCAAATTTAATTACAAGAAACTGATTTTTTTTTCATAGGACTATCCTATGAAGTCAAAATTTTGTAATAATACTTATAAAAAAAATTTTAATAATACCTTGGAGATTATAAAAATTAACAGATAAATTAGTTGACATAGTCGAAATGTATTTAAACCTCTTTTTTTTTTTTTTTAAATATTGCCTATACAAACTCATTAAAAACAGGCCGCGTGCAATCCCCGTAAAGCTGACATGTTTTCAATAAGAGAAATAGCATTGCGACAATAATTAAGTGCGCATCTAGGTTGGGCTACTAAGTAGTATTTAACATTAAATTAGCCTATTAGAAACTTGTCTATATTGAGTCTCTATCAATTTATTTTAAACCAATACAATGTTAAATGTGTGTACACTGTAATATAGATCGTCGACTAAAATCTAAATTGGTAGTACTTACGTTAACCACAGTACATAATACACGGAACTTTTATCTTTGATAACCCCTCCAACTTGTGATTTGCGGTCTTGATAAGAAACTGGTATTATCATATTTTCTAGACATAAATTTTAATATTTATCAGTCGGCTGTGAGTTGTAATGTTGATGTGGATATGGGTAAATGGTAATGTTTTAAAAAACGAAAATTGCATGGTAGGGTAGCCGCTAACAAGTAACATTGAAGAAAAAAACTTGTGGGCCGAAGGTCAACAAGATATTATTAATATGTGGCCATCTATCAATGATTTTTAATTAACTATACTCGAATGTATGTTTACATAACAGTAATATAACTACGCTAGTCACTTAAGCTATACACAAGACTACATTAGAGCGAGTTGTGAGTACTGATAAATTTGTTAAAATTAAAATTTTAGATATCTAATTTCTATAAATTAAGTTAATTAGTTTTAACTAATTAAATTTATTTAACTAGATTACAAAAAAACAATGAGTGTTGAAGAATTAGCTGATGTCGTTGGCAAAGTTGCTGCTGTTGCTACTATTGGAACATTCTTTGCTCCTGTGTAAGTGTTATACTTTTTAATTCTTTGTACTGAATAGTTAAGTTCTTGCATCAAATTAAATAAATAACTCATTATATTTATTTCATTATTTTATAGATTATTTATAACTTATAAATTAAATATAAGTTATAAACTAAGAATAAATAATATTTTTATGTGTAATTGAGGAGCCTAGTGCAATAAGGGCTAATAATAATTATCATATAATAATGATGTTTCCATTCCTCCCAAAAAATGTGTGTAGGTCTACACGTCCTTATTGCAACGACCTCCTTAATTATTTTATTTTTGTGTTGTACAATTCCATACCACGTTTAAAAAAAATGAATAAATAATACAAGTTTCCTTTAATTTGCAGTTGTAATTTAAAAAAACAAGCAAAGTAAATTCCATTTAGATGTTTGTAAAAACCTGACATTGGTCCTCATACTTAAAATTTGAACTCCTTACTTATTATATAACAAGTCACTGATGAATACGTTAGCTACTACCTTATTATTTTTTTGAAAAAAGGAAATTATTATGTAACTTAAAAATTATGTAACATAATCATCGCTACAACTATATGTTTAATATAATATATCTAAGATTACTTTAACAATTTTTTTGCTATGTATTTGGATAATAAGTAATTCCTTTCTTTTTAATATGTTAATTTATTAAATATTATTTTATTAAAACTATGTAAGTATGAAATCATTTCCATTATTTTATATTAAAAAATAAATCATATCTTCAGGAATATTAATTATTAAAACCATTTTTACCAATTTAGTCTTTAAAATTCATAAGTAAAATACCTTAGAGGGCGTCGCACCGGTGATTTTCAGTGATAAAAACATGTTTACACCAACTGAAAATAACTCGTTTAATTTTGGTTTTAGAGTAAAAGCATCCATTATAAAATTAAAAAAGAACAATATTCCAAAGGGTAAGACGGTGAGTTTTTTTTAAAAAAAATTCATTTTTTGAAAAGTTACAGTCAATTAAAAATGTTAAAATAGTCGTTATTTCTAAACTATGTGTTGAGTGTATACTTGGAATAATGAAAAAAAAGCACCGTATTGCCCTCCGAAATATTGTTGTCTTTTAATTTTATAATGGGTGTTTTTACTCTAAAACCAAAATTAAGCGAGTTATTTTCAGTCTGCTTAAACATGTAGAGATAAAAAAAAAATTTTTAAATCGCTTTCAAGGATGCTATGATAGTCCAAAAAATAAATTAACTACCAAAATAGAGTCCTAGTTATTGAACTAATAATTACACATCACAGATTAAACTTTAAATTACGATTTTGTAAAAAATTTCCTATCCTTTACTCCTTGAAAATGGGCGGTGTGACGCCCTCTTAACACTAGAGTGAGAGAAAAAGATAATTGACCTACTTAATGATTTGACTACTTTAAAATACTATAGTTGAAATAGGTTATTTAATTATACACTTGATCAGTCCATTTTTTGTTTACTTTCAGTTTTATTTGTTGGAATATAATAAAAAAGAAGAGTTCTAAAAATATAGACCCTACACCTTTCATTGGGGGTATGGCCATGTAAGTATATTCAATTTTTAATTTTATAAAATTATAATAATAACAATATTAATTTCTGTTTTATTATGGAAGGTCCATTTTGATGATAAAAAATGGAATTCTTATGAATGATCCAAACATTATACCTGTAAACATTTTTGGATTTTTATTAAATTTGTTATACTTTTTAGTGTACTACACATATACGGCTAATACGGTAAATAAATATAAATAATAATAGACACTAAGACACCTATATTTTATGTATATATAAAATTATATATAGGTATTATTATTTATACCAATCTATAATTTTTAGGATAATGATAGAAAAAGTGGGCAACACATAAGAATTATATTGTTATTAAACATATTAAAAAAATTCAAAATATGTAAGAAAAATCAGATTTTTGTTGCTCTGTTTTTTGGAAAATGTCAAAGACTCATCATGCATAGAGGTCTAGCCGGTCATTTTATAAAAAATTAATAAAACAAGAAGTTACTTTATGAAATGTACTAAACCGATTTCCAAAAAAAATGTTTTTTTATAGAGTTAAACATCTTCTCCACAAGGGCTAAAAGGCCAATTTTTTTTTAATTCTGTTTTTAAAATTTTATTGTAACTTTTATATTTTTACTTTTTATGATTTTTTTTAATAAATCTAACTTATTTTCTAATAGCTAAATAAAAAATTGGCCTTTTAGACCCCATAGAGAAAATATTAAGCTTCTCTTAAACAAAATAAAAATTGAAATCCGTCTAATAGATTTGCCGGAAAATGACTTCTACAAAACTATTTTTTTGTCAAACTTTTGCCATAACTCGGAGAAAAAAAACTCTGTAAGTCTGAAACATCAGCAACAAATCAAAGACATTGAATACATCCAAAGGTTATCAAGTTAATTATAATTTATGTTTTTTATTAATTTTCTGTAAACAACTGCTGTGCCTGTACACTAAATTATAACAAAATAGTTTGTGTGGTGTTCACTTATAATATACTTCTATTTATTATACAAGATGAAACATTATAATATTGAAAACATTTATTTTTAGGGTCCACTATTTTCAATGTTGAAGAAAGTAACACTTTTTACTGGTATATTGTGGGGGTATACAATGGTTGAAAATGAAAAACTAGTGGAATATCGCTTTGGAGTTATTCTAACCTTATTAATGTTTACACTTGTTGGATCTCCTTTGTTTTCTCTTGTAAGTAAATTTTTATATTGATAAAAGATGCGCCTAGAACACAATGGGTATAAGTGACATTTTTACAAAATCTGAGTTAAGTACACAGCTAACTACAAATTATCCATTTTATTTGTTGGTAAAGATATTTAAGTGAATTATTGTTAGTGATTTTTATTCATCATTTGTTGCGATCTGGTACCAAATCACCTAACCCCCAAATGAAAACGCCATCTGGATGTAAACTTTGACTTTTGAGTTTGATTTTCTTGAAATCGATAAAATGTCACCTATACCCCTTGTGTTCTAAATGCCTCTAATAATTATACCGAGTCTTGAAACATTTCAAACGAATCTAATTAATTTTTTTAATTAAAAACCACAAGTTTCTTGTTTATTTCATCATTTTTAACTTAGATTTTTTTACTTAATATTATTAATACAGCAAATAATAAGAAATAGTATACAAAAGTTATTTAATTTATATTGAGTATAGGAAACTTATTTTACGATCATATATAATATTTTACATTACTAAAAATTGTATTTAGGTATTTATAATATTTTAAGATTTTTGTGGTTTTGGCAAACTTTTCGATTTTAAGTAAATCATATTATGATAAATGTTACCATACATTTTTCCTAAAGTTTAATCATTCAGGTTGCAATTTCACTTAATATAAAATCAAATGTACCAAATAATACTCTAATATAAAATGTATAGTTCAACTTTTAGTTTTACGCTATTAAAAATAAATATTTGATTTCAAATAAAATATAATCAACTTTTTACAATAAAAAACTGTTAATAAGTTATACTTATATAATAATATAATTTACAGAACTAATACAATACATTTAAATAGTTCACTAAAAAATAACCTTTTACCTTGCAAAATTTGAATTTAAAATTAATTAAGTGTTTTATTTTACTTATAATAATTTATTTTGCAGAAAGAAATTATTACAGCACAAGATGCATCAATGTTACCATTTCCAATGATATTATCTGGTACTGTGGTTGGATCTTTATGGCTGGTCTATGGACTTTTAATTGACAATATATTTATAAAAGTCGGTTATTTATTAATGATTCATATAATTTTATTATTACTTACTTAAAAAGGTTTTATTTACAGGTTCAGAATGTGGCGACAGTAATATTGTGTGGAATACAGCTAGCGTTAATTTATAAATATCCCAAAAAAGAAGACAAGAAAACTGATTAGTCAGTTATGTAACTACTGATTATTATTAGTCTAAATTATGTATTTCTTTAATCCTTGTGGCCTGTGATTTCCTATTATTGAGTATTCCATTTTGTTGATTGACTTTTATTATTCCATTAAATACTGTGTATACTTTGTGATTTATTTTTCTGCATTAGCACCGCTCGTTTTGTTTAAAAACTAAATGTGATAAATCTATTACTGTTATTTAATAAGGTGTTGTTCGTGTTTGCCATTATAAGTAAAAAGAAATTGTAATTTTAGTTTTCCAAAATTGAAACCATTCCAATTAACTGAAACAAATTGTATGTTATAACTTACTACATAGTATATTTATATTATAGACTATAGTATACACGTACTTAATTAAAAACGATTATGAATTAAAGCTTATATTATGTAGTAACAGTTGTAAGTTATTTATTTGGAAATTCCCTTTAACTTGATATAAAAAATCAACCCATTAATGCATACCTACCTCAAATTGTTATCTAGAAAAAGTGCACTTTTTAACAGTATACTATAAGTATGTTGTAAAATTTTCTTAAAGTATTTAAAAGCAATAAGCCGTTCATGTATGTCGATATCGTGTACTTGGAAGGCCACAAAGTGGCTAAGAAGTCGGCAATTCTTTGTCGATTCGGATGATAGAAAAATTACTTTTTAGTTCTTCAAATGACATTGTTTAATTTAGACATCTGATTTGATCGACTATTAATTACTACATTATACAGTAGTATAATAAATTGTGACTGTGCTACACAATTATAAAATACGGCAAATTTAAATGCCAAATGGAAATGTACAGCGAACCTCCATTGATTTATGCTTTTGACTACAGCCCTTTTGCCGTTTGGTGTGTTACCATATTATGGCAACGTGTGTATACATATAATTAGATTGCGAGCGACGGCTCGCAATCTAATGACGGTGGTGAAAGCCACCGTCATGGCTTTGTCGATTTACTCGAAAAGTACTCGGTGATTTCTTTTTTGGTCTTGTTCTTGGTCTCTGGTAACAAGAACCATCCGAACAACCAGACGGCCACGCCGGCGCACGTGCACACCCATAAATAGAGTTCCATGCCGTATTCGATGATCACGAGCGGAAAGATCTTAGTATAAGAGAACATGAGCACGTACGCCAGCGAAGTGGTGATGCCCATCATAACACCGCTGATGGCCGTTGGGAATACTTCGGCGCAAAAGGTGAACGGCTGGGACGAAACGCCCATCATGGCCGAGATGATGTACATTATAAGGCATACGAACGTCAGCCATGGCGTTGGCGAGTCCGACGGATCGTCGTAAGTCCTCAGCGTCGCGGCTATGACGGCCGCGGACGCGGCCATGCCCAGGCCGGACATACACGTCAGCGTCTTCCTTGGCACGTTATAGAACACAAACGAGTTGAGCGACGCGCCGATCAGACGAGCCAATGACAGAAAGGCAGATGCTTGCACCGCGTCGAACGGCACTCTGCATTCTCTAGTAAAGTCCACCAGATATACGAAGGACGCCGTGAACCCTGTGGCGTTTTGTAGTACGAAAAACGTCATACACAGCACGGCCGGCTTCCACACCTCGGGACTGGTGAACGATTTGAGTGTTATGGCATGCGAACGGCCACACTGTTCCGTCGATAGCTCGAGGGGCGGCAACCCGAACCACCGACATATCCTGTCCGATTCCTCTGACCTACCTTTGCTAAGCAGCCACCCCGGCGACTCTGGCACGATGTACAGTAGGATGGTTAACGCGACACATGCGGCTAAGAATACTTCGGACGCCGACCGCCACGACATCCACTGCATTAACGTCGTGGACAAGATCATGCCCACCGCTTGGTTGATGTTGAACAGCGACAAGAAAAATGAACGGCTCTCTGTCGAACATGTTTCACATATATACAGACATATGGCACTGCTGCCCGATCCTGTAGACGAAAACGCGTATCCCTTATTATCATATAATTACAGTTTAAAACTACTATAACCTATGTCATATTAAAAAAAAAAAAAAATTAAATCTATATTTATGTCTACATTATACAGGGTGTTCCGGCATGAAAGGTAAGTAATTGGTGAGTGGACATCTGGGGGACCCCCAAATAAGCCCCCCGTTTTCTTTTTTTCAATAAGTCAAAAATTGAAGGTTTCGACAGTTAAGTAAAAAAATATTGACCTAAAAAAACAAAAAATTATTCCATGTTTATTCGGTGCAAAATGCTCACCTTAAAAGAGGGGTCACATCATTTTCAGTCTTTTTCTCTTATCACTTATCTTATCATTTATGTCTCACCTCTAGTCTCTTATCATTTATCTTTCATAATTTATCTTTTATCAATTATCTCTTTTCTTTTATCTCTTAGAATTTATCTTTTATCACTTATTATTTATTTATGGTCTCTAACCATTTTACTCTTATCATTTTTTGAGTTAAGGGCCGAAAGGGACTGAAAATGATGTGACCCCTCTTTTAAGGTGAGCTTTTTGCACTGATAAACAAGGAATAATTTTTTTTGTTTTAAAGTCATTATTTTTTTACTTAACTATCGAAACCTTTAATATTTTACTTATCGAACAAATGAAAACGGGGGGCTTATTTGGGGGTCCCCCAAATGTCTAATCATCTATTACTTACCTTTCATGCTGGAACACCCTGTAAAGTAATTGAAAAAAAATTCATATTAAAAGTTGTAAAAAATAATGTTTAAAATTGTGTTACAGGGTATTTTTTTAAAAAAACCACACTAGGTAAAGTAATTATTTCGAGTGCGCTTTTTTACCTCCTAACCGGGAGCATTTTTGAAATATTTTCCCCTATTAAAATTGTTGATGTTTTAACCGCTAGCTGACATTTTTCCTTTGTGCGCCACTTTAGCTAGCCGCTTTACTTCTTTTAAATGTTAATTTTTAACCCGAAGGGTCGCACATTTTACGCAATGCGTTACCTATTTCTCGTTAGTCTATATGTACTAAATGTATTATTCATTGCAATAATAATTATCGATAGTGATATAATAAACAAAATGTATTTAGTTTAGTAAATAAAATATTATTTTTACAAACTATCTGAAACAATAGCATTATAAAGGTGAACCCATATAGGTATTTTATTTTTTTGACATTTTTCTTTAAAAACCTCGAAAGTACTCCAGATGACCCAAGGGTAGGAGGGGTTGGGCTTGTTCTTTGTCATAGTTTGACAATTATAACTGATATATTTAAAAAAGTAATACGTACCTACTGCTAAGCCTACTATGAATCTTGCCAAGTAAAAGTCAGTAATGCTTGACGCCAACCATATCCAGGCAAAACAGACAATCAAAGGGTACATTGATAATTGCATGCTTCTTAAACGGCCATATTTATCCATGATCACTCCAAATATAACCGAGCCAAGAGGACACGTCAGGAAAACTGAACTGGCTAGAAAAAAACTATTTCGTCATTATAGTTATAACTTATATATGTAAATGTTATACTATACTTAATTGTAAACTGCAGCACACTGCATGTTGATTAATAACAACCCAGCCCCACAACAACAAGAAAAGTAGGGTTTCAAACGAACCAGACAGGTCTATTTGTTATTTTGAGTAGCTGGAATCCAAATAGTCGAAAATCAATAGTTAGCTCTTGTTTTTTACTAGCCTTTAAAAAATGTCCGACATCAGATTTGGATACAAACATTCAAAGTACTTAAGAATTGATTTATCTGGTCCGTCCAAAATCCTACCTTTCTTTTTTTTTGTGAAGAAATGTATTTATTATTTTTAATAGTAGGTGTCAACAAATTTACCTATCCATGATGCTTGTTCGCCAGTTATTGGAATTTCTGAGTTTGGTTCTCGGAGTTGAGCAATCATGACACCCGAAAATCCCATTTGTACACCTTTCAATACAATTTGAAAATACATAATACTGAAAACTAAAAACTTAAAACAAAATATACACATATATATAAATGGTTAAAAAAAATTAATAACAACAAAAAGTTTTCAAAATAGTAATATACTCACTAGTCTGACGAATGATAGGGAATTATTATTTTTAATTATAATCATTTCAATGATAATAAAGACAATTTTTTTTTTTAAGTTTATTTTCTCAAGTTGAATAACTCTTGAGGTATGAGACATAAAACGTATTACAGTAGTAGCATTGATTATGTAATATACTATTAGTGTAATACTGTTTAAAATTGTGTTACAAGGTATTTAAAAAAAAAACCACACAAGGTAAAGTAATTATTTCGGGTAATCAATGGCAGTAGCCAATTGTAAACTTCGTAAGTCCATACACTTTAATTTAAGTAAAAAAACAAAAACTTTTATTTTTCATTTACCCATTGTACAGTAGTCAGTCGTAAACTGAGGATGGTATAAAACTAAACGATAAGACAATTTATTAATTTCGTATCATTGTGTAACTTATCTGTATAATTAATCTCTTAGACATAGAATACAAGTAGCTTATTCTAGCCAGGAATGTCTATTTGCCATTAACAAACCCTGAGCTAGTGAGAAGTGTTTATCTCCAGAGATTAAATAACGTATCGATTCAGTTGCTTTTTCATCTTATGAAATAAGTTGTACTTATTTAATAAGATTTAATTAATTTTTTTTTAAACTTTAAGCCAAAAATCTCTTCTCAAAACGTCTTTATTGGCTATACTTTTGTTTTCTTAAATTTGAAATTTGAAATTTAAACTCTAAATATACCTATGGTGTACCTATATAGGCGCACTCTAGTAGCGCGTCCAAACCGTGCTGCTATGTAATACTGCTATATAATACTTTGAATTGACAATTTCATGTTGTAATTTATTTAATTTTAACAAATTTTACCATTTTTCAAAAAAAAAAAATCTAAAAAACTGCTGTTTACACGACCTTCCTACATAGACATAAGCTCTCCAAACGACTTTATAAACATTCGATATAAAAAGATGTATGTATATTTGTTTTTTAACATGTTGTTACACTAGTTTTTAAGTACCTACCTAGTACATACTATACTTAATACTACCAATAATCTTTTGATAATATTTGTAGTATAGGTATTGTAATAAAAAAAAAAGAAAATACTGGTATCATTTAATTTAATAAGTGGGTACTTACCGCTACGCACTATACATATTGAATAATTAATAGGTATATTGATTTTATTTAATATAGACATTTTTTATAATATATTCTATACTTGTATCTACAGGGGTAAACATTTACGATAAGCATTCAAACTTCTGAATATTGTGATAATAAGATATGTTGTATAGCGCTAAAGTTCAATCGTAATTCATAAAACTTGAACTAATAACGAAAACAAAGAAATTGAATAGATTATTCATTTTATTTGTTAACAAACCAACTACAGTAGATAACTATTTTTTAAATTTAACTAATAAACTGTATATTAATAATATCATAATAATAATATCCCCCTAAGTGAATAGTAAACGAGCTTCTAAAGAAAAAAGTCTTTCGATTTAAAAACCGATTTCCGACTAGTGAGTGATAAAAACTAAAGTTCATATTATGTCGTATAATAGGTAACTGTATAAAATGTAATAATATGAATTCTTTCAATTCACACGACGATCGAATTTGTTTGAAACGGGTATATAACTTAAAATGTATACAAAAGCCAAAAGCTTTTAAAATTTTTTTTAGTTAAAAGTATTTATGATTAAAAAAAAATGAATATATTAATAAATATTTAATTTGCATAATATGTAGTAGATAACAATAAAGGTTATCTATATTTTACGATTTAATGTTATTTTTTAATATTACACGTGATGTTCTATAACGGTACTATTATTACTAAATATTTGTATTATACAGTACAAATAAATATATGTTATATTTATATTATGTAATTAACTTGGACAAATCCGTCTCTGATAACTCATTACATCGTTAATAGTATCAAATAATATTAATACACGATTTAGCAATAATTAACATTATATATTTAATTGTTTTTTATCTTTCACGTGCAATATTGTACTTCTATTTATTTCAGTCTTACAAATACTCCTTAATTTGTACTGTGTAGGCAGCTCAATATTCGAATCCATAATTTATTAAAAGGAACATACTGTATTTAAATTGTATACTTATCGTCGATTAGAATAAATAGGCACAAGCCAGGTTTTCAAGGTAATAACACAAAGATCATTGCCGATTGAAGTAAATTCAACTTTTAGGAATTTCACTGATGTTAAAAAATCACAGAACAAAATCTGAGTACAATTTATTATGATACTAATATTATAACAATTATAGTGTACATATTAAAATTTAAATGTCAATAATCAATGAGGTTGCGTTCAGTTTGTAAATACCAATCATTCTGAATCATATTCTCTCTAAAATAGAGATTAACAATAGTCAATATGAAGCCACCACATCCCCTCTCTCCACAAAAATCCAGACATTAACCTCACCCGAAACTTTTAACATAATTTACCACAAAATAATGGAAAAATGGCAAATTTTTTGGCTAAACCTTCCTCTTTCCAATAAACTTAGAAATGTAAAACTAAACGTTAAAAAATTGAAGTACCCCCCCTAACATTAAAATAAGAGATGAAACAAACATCACCCGAGCTAAAATAGGCCACTCTCACCTAACCCATGCATACCTTATCAACAAGGAACCAGCACCAGTATGCGACACTTGCAAGCAAATATTATCGATAGAACACATAATCATCAACTGCCCCAAATATAGAGAAGCACGAAAGAAACTCAACAATCCTCTCACACTTCACCAAGCATTCAAAGAAGAAAACACCACTGAAATCATTAAATTTTTTTACAATGTAAATGTAAGCCATAAACTATAAATATCATGTTATTCTAATTCCTAAATTTATTGTACATTAACTTCAAGGCTAATAACCCTGTAATTGAAGCCTTTACCATTAATAAAAAAAAAAATTAATAAAAAAATAGTCAATAATTCTACAATATTTTTGCACAAGAAACCTAATGATACATTGTAAAAATGATTCGATACAATTAACGATGATTCAATTAGTAATCTGAAAACAGATTTCAATAATATAACCTACGAAACTATAACACATACATTTAATACAACAGTTAGACTGAATAATTGCAATCGCCAATCATAATACATTATAATTCATTTTCTCGTTGGATCATATCAGCTTGACAAATTTGTATTCTGATGACAGCTCTCCGATAAGATAATACATTAGAATTATTCAGAAGTTAATTTAACTATAATACGATCAAATTGTCTAAAACCATCACGGCTAAGATTTCTTTATTGCAATCTGATTATAAAAGTCATAACTACATTTTCGCTATAATTTATGACAACTTACATAATAATATATATTACAAAGAAAATGAGTGTAATATGTATATGTGCAATGTGCATCCATACAAGCCAATTATATTTGAATTATAGATAATAATATGTTTATTATTTTCCGTATAGAAGACTACAGTAACTTTATCTTGTTTATTTTGTTGTCGCTGTTAACGATTTATAAGAACTCCATAGATTGTAACTTAAAAAGAACTCAATGGCAGTGATCTACACGAGCTCGAACTGATTCAGAATCCACCTGGCCCGGCCCGACCCAGCTTAAGCTGTGTTTAATAAAATGATAGCACAAGGCGGACCGCACTTCGGTTTAAAACGTATTCAGTAAGAACACTAAGTGCAATAGATTTCGTATAGGCCACCAAGCTAAGTACTCTTGTTTCCCACGCCAGACTCTCCCAGCTTCTTCTATCTAGAACATTACACAGCATCGCTTCCTAGTCGTTCTCCAACATAGACATGGCATCAGACATTCCACATACATCTTCCTTTCCATCACCGTAGACAGCTCAATCCTTTCTACAGCGAGTGATGACAGTGCTCCTCGTAGTCTGACCGGTATACAAATAAGTCGCTTGTTGGTATTCTTGCCATGATTTTCATTGTTTACCATTGAGTAGCATCAATTATCAAAAATCCTGCTCTATTTCGTAGTGTCATTAACAAATATCCCTTAACAACGGATTTCTTCTAGTTAGATTCTACTTTCTCTTAACTTGTTTTTATATTTGTTTATTTTATATATGGATACAGTAGCGTATTTATGAGGGAGTATAAGAGATTTGTTATTTGTTTTAAAGTATTTTATGTAAAACTATGAATATATTAGGTAATACGTTTTTCCGTTTAAACATTTTTAATTTTCAAAGGTGTTTTAGACCTTTCAAAAAAACACAAATTGTACTAACCCTGCTTCTCTAATATTTTATAAAAACCAACCCAATTTACTAGACAAACGACATATTTAACTAACAAAACATTTATTAATTTTCACATAAAACATATATTAAACATATAATTAAACATAAATTTAAAAAAATAATTTCTGCAAATGTACATACATAAAAACTATTAAAGTAGACTAGTGTTTAAAGTCTTTTTTATATTAAAATTGTTGTTTGCATATTAAAAGGCTTTATTAACCTAAGTCAAAGATCGTAATTGTTCGTTTTTTTCTGGAACTGATGTGTTAAAGTTTACCAACCAATGCTCATTACTCTTAGTTTGTAAATTTCTTAGGGGTTTATTGAAACAAACATACCATATGATTCCTATTATCGTACAAATTATGATTTCCAAATAGTATCCATTGATTGTAGTCGAACAGCTTCCGCCAATTGAACTGCACTCCTAAATCGTGTAAATGTTATTTATTAGGAGATGAAATTTAGACAATATTTTACAATATATACAATATTAAACAATACCTATAGGTATTTAAGTGTATAATTTCCATTATGACAACTTATTTTCAAGTTAATTAATATTAACGACTACGGGAAAAGGTCCCGTAATGGCGCCTTATTCGAAAGTTTGACTACCACATCATTAAATGATGGTTTTGATCAGAGCCGATGATTCTACACGTGTATTTTAAATACACGTGTAGGGCAAGTTCGTGTAGTTCGAATTCACGTGTAGAAGTTCGTGTAATTATATATACACGTGTAGGACTCGAGATTCCATAACTTGACCTAATAGCTATTACACTTTATTTTAGCGACAAGCATTAATTAAAGAAGGTTATCACGTAAAATTACAGGTCTTATTAAAACTTATAGTTGTAAGAATACCAAATACGTGTAGTTGCAGGTACACGTGTACTTATAACTACACGAACTTCTACACGTGTACACGTGTAATCGGTAGCTCTAGTTTTGATTCATCTGCATATTATTCGTTTTTCAATGAGCAACCTCCGTCCAAAACACCATTATAATTACTAAACCGTTTTGTCGTACCATAAGTATTCACTTCATCTTAGTCACATTACTGTGCTTAGGTTTTACCGTGCGGAATTCAGTCAATATTATTTCTCTAATTGCATTTCCCTTGCTCCTGACTTTTCCCCTCTATTTCATGAGAATATTTTAACATGGATATGTTATGGGGCTGAATACAAGAAATTGCATGTCACCATTTTCACGTAACAAAATTAAAAAATATTTTAAATTATATGTTTTTTTTTTATTTATTAAAAAATATTTACAATCTATGCTGCAAGGCATAATAAGCAAATATACTCTATTCGGAATAAGAACAGGACTGGTTGCGCATGGGCGTGGCTTTGTTCCAAAGCTTTGCATCGCGCGCCTTGACTAGGTGGGAGTAACATCTCACCTCATTTATACAAAGAAAAAAAGAAAAGAAAAGAAAAAACGGTGATGTTGTATGAGGATGGAGGCTATCCAGTGATAAAACCCAACATGATTTTATTTTAAAATATTAAAAGATAAGAGATAAACAAAAAGTGATCAGAAATAACATATCCATGATTCAATACATTTCTGTTGAGCGGAGAAAATAACTAGGTTTTTTTTGTTACTATTTTGTTGCGAGAACCATTAAAACATAACGTTTTTTTTAACAGATGAATACTAGAAAAATATATGTACCGAAATTATTGTTTGTTTAAATAAGACTTTAACATTTGTTTGAAACTCGAGTATAGATACTATGCATATAATGTATTAATACAATTATAGCATATCTTACCATTCCGAGCACTTGCGTAGAACAATCGTTATTTGAATTAGTTGAACACTTTTTGACTGTTAGCCAGTCAATCGAAATTAGTGATATTGTATTTGTCCAAGAAATGCCCAAATTAGCAACAGTATTTAAGAGAGTCATGTACGTTCCTCCAAAACGTGGATCACTTATTCGCGAGAAAAACGCTAACAGAGCCACAAACATGCAGTACACCAACAGCTGAAACATCAATATTATCATTTAATATTTCTGAAATAAGGACAATTCAATAAAATTATGCAAGTATGTCTTCTTCAGGAAGCAAAAACTTAGGACGCAAGTGATTTTAGAAGATGGAGCGGTTGGGTAAATCAAACCAAGGGTATCATTAGCCCAAGATATTTCTGAGGGAATGTAATCTGCACAACAAATAAGGCGTTTTTACGAAATAATACAAAATAAACAAGTTTTAATCTTAGGTATTTCTCTCTGATATAGCCAACTACAAACCGTAAAACTTATAACTAAGTTCAAACTTTTTATAACTAATCTTGTATCCATATGTTCGACTTTATATTAAATTTGAAGACTCGGGAAAAGAGTTTTTGACAAGTTATAGATTTTAGGGTTTTGTTAATAGGGTTTAATTAGGGTTTAATAAAAAGAGCGATACAGAATGATTGAAACTTATATGAGGAATGCAGGTGTATGCGAAGAAGATGTAGGTCGTGGGAGATCGTATGGAGTAAAGGTTTAGGACAAGGGGAGCAGACCCCAAATAGTCGGGATGAAGACGAAAGATGAGAGATGGAAGGAGTGGTATTTGTACAATATTTGGATGGCGGTGCTGATCAAAGAAATCAGTCCAACGATCCTTCAGTTAACTCGCATCAAAGTTAAAGGTAATACGGTTATATTTAGCATTTAGAAATACTTACCTCATGAAAAAACAATGTTAATCCAAATAAAACAAAATATTCAAATGGTACTTTTGCGTCAATGTTGCCTTTTTCTACAAATAATGGTGTATAATAAACCAATAACCCCGATGAAATTCCACAAAGTAACCTATAATAATTATATTTAAAAAAACATTTTACTATTAGCAACAATGGTAAATTACTATGTAGGTATCTAATTTATCATCATAGGATTATCTTAAATTCATTAAAAAATAATAAGTATATTAAAAATGATTGACAAATTTAAGTGGTCAATATATTGTAAATATACATTACGCATTTTACAACTTAATACATCATTTGTATATCTATCTCAAACAATTTTTCATTTGAAATATTTAATAAATGATTTATAATACTTTTCTCTTACATTCTTACCTAAAAGGGAAAATGTTCAGCAGAGTGCTCATCGGTTTCGGACCCGAAGTATATTTGGACACAATTATAGGTATTAACATTTTAACGGGATAAAGGGCTGTTTGCACGATAACTAAATTGTCACGAGATACTCCGGCATCAATTAGTTTTAAATTTGTTACATTATCCACAGTAGCAAAAGCAATCTGTTAAAAAAAACAATTAATGCGACTAGAATTTATAAATAAAAATGTTCTTGACAAAACCACCATTCCTATGGAATTACACTAAATGTGCACGCAAAATGCAATAATAAACACTTTTTTAATAGAAGTAATACTGTTTAACCACAAATAAAAAAAAATTATCATTAACACTTTATTATATTTGTCTTAGAATATGTTATTTATTCTTATTATGTCTATACAATTTTAATTTTTGCATATAAACTAGAATATTCGTTTTTAGGTGTACTTACATTGTCAGAGTAGAATTTTTTGTTGATAAACTAATAGTTTATTCCGTTTTCAATTTTGAAAAGTAAAGCATTAAAAAAAAGGAATCCTTAAACAAATCATTCTGTATAAGTGCATACAGAGTAGTAGGTATAATTCATAACCGAATACCGATTATATGACAATAAAGAATATAGAGAAAACCGCATTGCCGTAAATCGCAAAGGTAATCGTATGCTTAGCATCCGGAATTTAATATTTTCAGTTTAAAAATGTATAATATTATTATCATACGTTATAATCACTTATAATTAAATAAATTTTGATTTTTCCAAAATGCTATAACGTATTTATAGTTAATTTTTATTTATTTATAGAGATATAAAACGTAACGGAGATGGTACGGTTTTTAGGGAGTGTGCGGGACTCGCAAAGTTATTTTCTCAAATATTTGTTTGGTACTTGAATCCTCTAAATATTTTAGGCATTTTTTGCATCTATAAAATAACGTTACAAATACACTTTATAATTTACAAAAATGAAAGAATATTTATTATTGTACTAATAAATGTAAATAATACTGTATGGGTTTTTTGATTGACTGAAAAAGTTCTTAAAAAGGAACTTTTCCAACACCGCCGTTTATTACTTCTATGGGGAGCTGAATGGGCATTGGTTTTTCTATAATCATTTATTTTTAGAGTGATTTTATCACTTGGTCATAATATTAATTCCTATAGATCTACGACCACACTGACTCGACTATGCTCAGTCTCCTGTCTCTACTGTGCTGGCTTCAAAATAAAAATATTTAAAAATAAAATAACTAAAAACATAACCTAAAATTATCTGAATAAAATAAATAAGTAGGTGATTATATAAATAGATAAATATTCATGTTTGAATCGTTAATACAATCAAATTTCCTATTGTGCAACTTCAATAAATGTAATTAAATAACTTACCCGGTAAGTAATCAAAGCGAAAATCAATATGCGGATACCGTGCATTTTAACAATGTCCCACAGCACGGAGTAAGTTTTAAACACATTTAATTTGTCTTCTGTGCAATCTGCCGATCGATCTTTGTTTTCTTTCTTTATTAGACCAACAAGTGAAGTTATCAACATAAAAGCGACTCCCCAAAAGTAAAAAAAACCTTAAATAAAATAATAAAACATTAACTATCTATGTAATAGCATAATACTTGGATCCTACTCATTTATATTAAAATTAAAAATTGATGGTGAAGTCCAATAACGAAGAACCAATACGCACATTTTACAGTATCAAAAAAACGCATAGTGAATATTTGTGTATTTAGAAAATTCTGGGTTGTGTTATGATCATTAAAAAAGGTTTTTAGATTGGTTCATAACTTAATATTCCGCAAAAAAAAACGGAAATAAAAAAGATAGTCAATAGCACGTTATTTGGACCAAACCTTAAATTATTTCATTATATTTACTTTGCATAGATACCATTCCTCCATTGGCAGGTACACTGCGCAAATAATTATTACAGAAACTTTCGGAATCCAAAAGAATTGGAAAGACATATCCTAAAAACATTCCAATTGCCTGACCTGATGTATTACACATAGACGCATAGCCTACATTTTCTCTAAGATAAAAATAAAATAAAAACAATTATAATTATGAATGATAAACAAGTCGCTAGCAAGTTTATACTTATTACTTCCTCAACATGGTTAGAGCCCAACCGTCAACAGCTATATCCTGTGTAGCAGCAAGAAAGTTAGTGCAAAAAAACACAAACGTTATAATAGCCACTTGAGGCTTACCCTCAGTTCCTATCCAGCTATCAAAATGGACAGCTGTGTAAAGAAAAAATGTACCTAAAAAGGACTAAGTATAAATACAAATATACAAAATAAAATTATAATATTACTAGCAAATACCTAGCAAATACTGAACAGGCAAAAGCCAAGATTTCCTTCTTCCAATTTTCGTTACATACAAGGAATCAACTAGCGGTGCCCATAGAAGTTTCATACTGAATGGCCAACCTGCAGCACTAAATATAGCCTAAAATAATGAAAAATTAATATTAAATATTGAAAGTTAGATAAAATCTACGAATCCCATTATACCTATCCAGGTGTATATTATTTTATATATTATATATTATATTGTACTATACAGCGCATGGTTTTTTGTTGATATATCTAATAAGAACTTTTTAAAAGGCCTTAAAAGCCTTTTTAACAAAAATAAGTATATTTTATAATCCGTTCAATATCCGGTTAGGTTTGTTTAAAACAAAAATTAAAATTTCGAAATTAGATGGGGGGGGGGGGCAGTGAGAAAAATGTAAAGCTAAAATTATATTGAATTATTAATAAGGATTCATTATTAGTACTTTATAGTGTGAGTAATTAACATCTTTTGAACGAGTTAGAGAAATTATCAATCCATTGATTTCCTCTCTAAAATCCACTCTACAGGTATTAAATGCCAGCTACAAAATCATAAATCACTCGTTATCTAAGAAGTTTTTTTTATCCCATCATTCTTATTATACCATATTATTATAAGTATTAAACTATATTTTTCTTTTATAGTTATTAGTAGCTGTTATACAGTTTTTATTCAGTTAAATTAATGTGTTTTCTCTTTTTATTTTATTAAGATTATCAATTGTAATAATATTTATAATAATTGTCAAGTTGTAATACCTTTTTGATGAAAGCTATATAAAAAAAAACTTTATAAGACTATAAAAAATCAGCTCATTTCTTTTATGTGGTTTTAGATTTTCGAAAAGAAAAAACTTAAAATTAACCTCCTTGAAGTACAATATTTTTATATTTCGACTAAATTTGACAAGTATGTAGAGCGCTGTATACAAAATACTAACCCTAGTTTTCGCACGAACAAAATGTCCCGTGTAGCGTCATCTTAACACCCTAATACCAAAAATGATATGTTCATATAGTGACAAATTCTTAGAAAATATTTTAAACTACTAAAAAACTGAATAATGAAATTTTGAGAACTTCGTCGTTGACGTTTGCATACAAAAATAAAAATAAAGATAGAATTTCGTTTTATGAACATAGAAAAATATTTTGACAATAATGATATAATAAGTCTACATAAACAAGCGATAAAATATTGTTTATTATACATGAATCATGATTATACCAACCTGATCTTGATAGGAAACATTTTTTTGGTTTTGTAAAATCACTGGTATAGTCGTTGAAAACCCCAGTGGTACACCTTGAAGTGTATACAACAACATCAATAGGGAAATATTCGTCCAATCTCCTTTTAAGCATGGTTTGAGTGGCTGTGTGTTATTATCACTTTCAATTGCACCGGGTTGATCATATTTCGCCGATTTCTTCATACTTGTTTTCGGGTAATAATATCAGTTCCACAACCGACAGTAAACACGACTTATTGTGTCGAGCACCATCGACAACGTGTTAGAATAAACTGAGCGTTTTATCTGATGTGGTTCTTAACCTATTATAATTGAACAATATTATGTTTAGTAAGTTTACTAGGATTTTACTGGTGTACGTATTATAACAGTTGATTTATAATAAATGGTTTAATTCTATAATGTAAATGAAGTCAGTATTGATAACATGTTTATGTAGATAATAACCGCTATATTTATTTACAATAATGAAAGCCAATGTAGTCAATTAGACCTTAATACTAATGGAATCGATATTATCTCTTGTTAAAAGACTTTGTTACGTAGTAATGATATAATTGAAATTCGCAAGCATTGTTGTTATTTAGGGAGCGGTTTGAGGAAGGGGAAGGATTGGAGAGATAAGGAGGACACATATGTATTACAAAACTATAATAAAACATCGCCTTCCTAGAGAGAAAAAGTATAATAAAATAATTTTTACCTTTTACCTAGTTCTATCACCGAGCGTTATAAAAATTTGTTTTTAATAAAATGTAATTTAAGTTATTTCAAATTTACCTGTAACTAAAATTAATAAATTAAGATAACCTTCAATATTAACGTTTTAAGTTACCACACTAAACTATCATAAAACTTTAAAATATTTAACACTGTACCTACAAGTTTTAACTGTTACATTTAAAAAACAAAAATAGGTTTTTAAAAACGCACTTGTCCATCATTTATACTGCTCATCACAAAACATAACTACACGATTGTACTCTAGTAATATGTAATATATTCGAAAAAACATAAGGATAGACGTTTGACGCCAAGTACATCAACCGCCAACGGCTACTGTTAGTATTTTGTCGTCCGAATGCATCAGATGACTGATCATATAAGTGTCTCATCTAAACGAAATAACAGTCTAATAAAATCACCGCATTTCACGACAATAACTGATAAGTAAGCATTTTTATTTAATTTATTTAATAATAGTTGACAACAAGGTCAATGATGTTTTTAACTATGTCAGTTATTACTATTATTGTGAGGTCTATAAATATAAAATAAAATGGAATATGTACCTACTAAAATGGCAAGAGCTTTTGTACACTAAATAATTATTATACAGAGCTGTTTTTTTTTCTGTAGAAATTAATAATATTTGTGGGAACTTTTTTTAAAAATAATTTTAATGATAAAACAACCGTATAATAATAGTTTAATGGGAAATAACTGCTAGTCAGTTAGTTTTAACCAATAAATCAACTCCAAATGTATACAGTTTTCTTATCTAATTATACTGGTTATACATAATTAATAATATTTATATTCTGTTATCCAAAAGTCATATGCATAAAGGTTATACTTAAAGGAATCATCAATAGCAATGCCGTTGCATTACCTTTTTAAATTGCCTCTACAGACACGGATGTAATAAATTATAAGGAGCATCAAACTCCCTATTTAAATTTGATTATAAATAACGTACAAACAGTTTGTTGTAAAAGTATTTGTGAAAAATTAAAAAAAAAGATAAGGTATTTTTGAAAGTTATGACAGAAAAGGACTAGACAAAAAATACACTTTGAAGAAAGAGTTAAAATCGTATTTTCATTGAAGAAATGAATTCACTATAGAGTAAAGTTGTATTTTTGAAGTCATAAATTAGTAATTTCCATGAAATTTAGTAATGAATAGTATAATATAAACAGATGATCTTAACTTTTATTAGATAAAAGCATAAACCATCTTATTGACAGTAAAGTAAAAAAAAATATTTTAAATGGGAAAAAATGTTATTGAGTTAAATAATCACGTGGAAAACAATACTACTGAATTCAGATAAAATAAGAAAAATAAGTGTTTCGTAAGAACAAAATATTAGTAAAGAGGAGTGGTTGAGTTGTTGAACGCGTGAAAAAAGTTAGCAGTAAAAGAGTACGTAGAGCTCCAAAGCGGAAAATAAAAAAAAATTAAATTATCGTGTAATTTAATAAAAACCTTTTAAAAATTGTTATAATTACTGTTTTATTATTTGTTCAATTAAAACGTTTAAACTAAAGATTAAGGACTATTGTTGAGAAAAAAATTTAAAAAACCGGTAATAACCGTTAGCTTTGTAAAAAACTAGACAAAAAATTACAGCTGAAACATTATTAATATGGCTTTCATCATTTAAATATGATGTGATATACATCTCGGTACATTAAATAAATTAAAAACAGATAGTACAGATAACTTATACAGTTTAAAATGTTATTTATAAAAAAATATAAATACATACCTCGTTTGTACCCACGTTACTAAAATCAAGAACGGAAGATACACTTAATATAGTTAAGCAGCAACAACAGTATCCAGTATAATGAGTCGTATTTTTAGGTACTCTGACGAATTTTATGTTAGAATTACGTAACAACACGTGTTAGGTGTAGCTTATGATCTTTTTATCACGAAACGGGCTAGTCAGCAAGTACCTATAGTATATTATTGTAATTGTATAATTTCGACATCTGTTTCTATTGGTATAATAAGTGATTATGCATATATTTATTTAGAAAGAAATTATGATTATTTAAATCGATAACAAAAACAATGTTGTGGTAAAATGATAGAAGTATAACGGAGGGGGGGGGAATTTGCCCTTCGAACCTTTCTTGAAAAATACACACAAAATATTAAAACATTTATTACAGTTAAGTCTAATGAGTGTGACCCACAATTATCTAATGTCTGTTAATTTTAATTTAATTAAATATAATTTTAATATACGCATTAACGACTGCTTTTAAACGCAATAAATGTGGTCCATCTGTTTTCTAGGAATGATTATATTTATCATTAAAAATGTAGTATATATTTTTTTATTAAATTTTGCTAAATAAAAATAACAACGTATTTTATCATTGTGATAAATATACCTACATGCATTCGACTTCTGTCAGAATTTATTTTTGGCCGCCCAGGAAATTGACATAGTGTTATGATGTCTTTTAAAAAATAACTCATTGATTCATTATATATTTTTACTGGTAATCAGTTATACTTTCGAAGTACTATTAACAACTATGATTTTTTTGGTTTTAAAGTCTATTTGACTAATCAAGACTCCAAGGGATACTAATTTATTTTGAATACTAAAAATTATTCTGAGGAAATGTGCTTCTTAAATAGGGAGAATGTGGGAATACCAGTCAGTGGGTAATATCGGTCAATGGCATATCTCTTAAAGTATGATAGTTAAAATTTAGATGAGCACATAATTTGATAATTGTTGTTATCAGAGCCTAATACCAGATGTTTCAAAATGATAAACAACTTTTTATCACTTTTGTTGTAATATTTTTCCAAAATAAAACTCATCTCAAATTAAGAATTTCCAATTTTTTAGTTTTTACTATATTGACAGTTTCTAATACATCACAAACTGGCAAGGATTGCATTTATTTGCTCATAATATACCTAAATATTACAGCTTTTAAGTAAATACATGTATTTAAAAGAAAGTGTGATAGGCGTAATACCAGTTAAAACTGATGGGGTAAATGGTAATAACAGTCTAACATAACTTATGTAATAACCTTAACTAACTAATATTTCCATTAAACATACAATGTCTTTGAACAATATCATTGTACTGATAACATGATATTTTGATCATAGGTAATTTGTATGTTTTTTAGGAACTTGAATTTTTCCCTATCATTTTACATGTGTTTAATTGTGTAGACAACCTGTATTTTAGGGTACATTCAATTATTTTTATATAAAGGATTATTATAAAGTAATAACATATTTTGGAAAAATATCAAATATTTTATATTTAAAAAAAAAAAATCTATATAATATATTCAGTGTTGGGAAAGTAAATTTTTTAAATGACACTTGATCAGTCTCTCGATCCTTTTCTGCAACTGTGTTAAATTCATAAGAATCGCATACGTTTTTGACGATAAATGAATTGCCGATAATGTTGATCTATAGAACGTACAAATGATGGTAACAGTTCACTCAGCATTTTAATGGCGGAATACTGGAATGACGTTAAAGTTTTTTATGTACACGTTGGATGTTGTACAGGACGAGTCGGGACTACTACGCAATAGTGTGTTGACTATGCTTCATTTTTTGGGGTGAGAAGACGAGTCGTTATTTTTCGTGAACCGCTGCCCGTCAACAACAATAGTATACCTGCTCGTCAGCTGCCAAATTACATTACATTAAATAATACATTTCGGCCCGAGTGTCATTTGTAGGAAGTAATACATTGGAAGTTTTAGTTTAAAGAGACAGAGCGCTTAGTAGAAGTAAATATTAGGGTTGGGCCTATCCGGATATTCGGATATCCGAATTATCCGGATAATTCGGATACGGAAATCCGAAATCCGGATAGTTAAAAATTATCCGGATAGTTTCGGATATTCATTTCATTTTTATAAGACAAATATACCTTAATAATATAGTGTTTTTAAACATACCGAATAATAAAATAATGACACCTAATTAAATTTTACTATCACATAAATTATTTTTAGATATATCCGTGTCAGTGGTTGTTAACCGACTATTCGAACTCTTTGCAGAGTCCATCCTCAGGGTTGTCACGACTGTTTCGCTGCCGGTTAATAACCACTGATACGGATATATCTGAAAATCATCCACGTGATATTTCAACTCGTGAAAATTTCAAAAAATACATAAATTTGAGTACTCAAAAAAATATATTCGGCTGGTTAAAAATTAAATGAATATCCCAAACTATCCGGATAATTTTTAACTATTCTGATAGTTTTGGTTCTACGAATAATTGAAATATTATTTGATATCCGAAACTATCCGGATAGTTGATCAATTATCCGGATATCCGAAATTATCCGGATATCAAATAATCCGGATATCCGCAAAATCCGAATATTAGTCCCAACCCTAGTAAATATGCAGTAAACAGAGGGAAAATAAATTCTTTACAATACTATCCTTATTACTTTTTTTGTATGCAAACATCAACGAGGTTAATTATTCTTAAAAATTGTATAAGACAATGTTTGTAGTAGCTTAGAAGCTCTAACAAGTGTGTATTACTACTTACTAACACTTTTAAAAATATTATTCAAGTTCACCTTATATTAGATATACACGTCTTGTAAAGAAGACTTCCTCCACCTTCATATCAGAGGTTTTTGTATTTTTTCTTACTATCGTTAATCGTTATAAAATCAGGGCACAACATTGGTATGAAGTTGAAAATTATACATTTAATAAAAACGCACTGGATTTATTATTTATATATAATTATTTATTATTCTTTTGTCTAATAGATTACATTATACACATTAAACTAAATATGTTTAAATTAAATCATTCATAGAATACGGGTAACTTCGAAACAACGTTTTGCGCCATATGCCTTTTTCCATCAAGTCTAAATAAAAGACAGTCGAGTTACAGCTCGTAAAAAAACTAAACAATTGCAATTAGCTATCAAAAAAAAAAAAAAATTTTTTACAATTGTAATAAAAAATTTAATTATCGGTAAAATAATATTATTGCGTAATGAACACACCGGCTTTACTCATGTAACACATTTTTTTTCATCATATAAAAATTTACATTATTATTTTATAATTATATATATTATTATTAAGTTTACAAGATCCACAATTCTATATATATAAAAAAAAAAAAATAATAATATATATATATATATATATATATATATATACATATTTGTAATATTAATAATAATCGTACATTTAATGGATTTATTTAAGGTTGGCTATTCAGACATTTTTCATTAAAAGTAATAAAAAAACATAATGGATTGTACATAGTTTGTAAAATAATGAAGTATTTTGGAAATTGATTTGCGTGTGTAAGTGTGAATATAACATTGATAATTATTTTTATAGGAACTAACTGTATAAGTTATATATATATATATATATATATATATATTAATTAGTTTAATTATTATCTAGAATTAATATTCACCTAAATCCAACTTATTATGTTTGTTTTTATTTAAATACAATAAATATATCACAGTAAATACTGCATGCATGCAAAATAAAATGTGTTTAGAATAGTGCGGTTTAGATAACATGAATAAATTTCAATTAGTTACCATTGAGGAAAAGGGGGCATGGGATACAAAATGTATCTTTAATGCTAAAATAAAAAAATATAATAATAAAAATAAACACGATATGCGGATAGTATTTTTGCATTTTTAAAAATGGATGCACTGTTGTTTTACTATTTGTAATTAATAAAACGCTAAAAAAAAAATTAAATAAATACATGCGAATTAAATAAAGAAAAAGTTATAGGTCGAAAAATAAAAAAAAAAGTAATATTATTTCAGTTGGGAATTTTCAATATTGACAAGTCAACCGTCAGCTTAAAGGGAAAGACAAAAAAAAAAATTATAATAAACAAAAAAAAAAAATGGGAAAAAACAAATAAATTAAAGGCACAACCAATCAAAAAAAAAAAAAAAATTGAAAATAAATTATTACTCTAAAGCTAAGGGTTTACCGAGCACAGCCTATTCCTGGGCAAGGGGCAGTGTCACCAGCCGTTTGTTTTTAAATAAATTACTTAACCTTAAATTACTTTGTATAGTATATACGCTTTTCTTTTATTTCTCTAAGTTACAATTCATTTACAATTAAAATGTAATATCACAGACATATTTGCAGATCATTTTCGTTAAAACAAAATACTGCAACAATATTATAAACTAAAAACTGAAATATTGTAACAACACAGGTTTTAATTAAAAAGAGAAAAATAGTTACGTCGAAATTTTATTAAAAAAAAAAAAACAGTCACCGAATAACGGTTTTGTTAAGCGCATGTAGTCGTTGAAACGCCGTAGGTGAGGACACGCATTTCTTCAATGGCTTTACACCATTCTAATGCAAATCCTTCAGGATCTTCTAGGTAGTAAGTTCGGTTCGGCTGTAAACCATAAAAATACACACAATTAAAAAAAATCTGTCATCAATAGTATTTTGAAGATATTGATCGAGATAAAAACAAATTATTATTATTACTGTGTGGACGAAAAATATTCTGAAGTTCTTGGGTTCCACGCGTAGTTGTGGACTCCATGGTATTTCTCCTTTGAGGCTCATTGTAGTAGGATCAGCATAATATAGATGTGGACCCATAGTCAAACACAACATGCGTCTTCTAGCGAATAAACCCTAAACACAATAATTGATAATTAATTATTATTATATTATTAGTGTTTATACGTTTGAGTGGTGAGAACCAATGGGTATAAAACTTTTTTTTTTTTATAGTTTTATGTTAGAACAAACACAGATAGGACTTAATCACTAAAATTCAAAATCAGAATTTTTAAACGAGAAAAACCTGTCTTAGACGAACCCCGAATAAACAGGAAAACCGGTCAAGTCGGAATTTGTAGATGGGTCCCGCAATACGGCTTTGGACTTCTGAATAAGACGGAAAACTGCTCAATACGGAATTTTCTTTCGGTCCCGTGCGATTCCCCGTCTTAGACAGGTTTCACTGTATTAAAAAAAAAAAATGTCCGTAGAATCTTTTTCTGTTAGTTCTCACCACTACTTGATATAATAATACAAAACTATCATAGCTCGAACTATGTAAATTAAAAAAATCATTTGCTCAGCAATGCTACCTTTCGCTTGTCAACCAATCCTTGTTTGACGATTAGGTTGCCCTCGACTAAGTTGTGCCACTTGTTGTTGCACTTTTGTTGTTGCAGCTGATGTTGTTTCTCTTCTTCGCTCATCTGCAACACGCCCGCCCTCTTGCGAGGCCTGGGAGCGGGGGCCGGAGTGGTCGAGCTGCTCTGTCCGTCGAGGCCCAACAACCGGGTCAACTGTCTGTAGTCCAAACCCGGTTCGAGATGGTCGGGAACACGGTACTGGCTGCGCAGTTCCTGGCTCTCGCTGTTGCCCGGCAGGTACGGATAAATGGGCGGAGGGTTCATTTCGTGCAACTTGTCGAAATCCAAGTCTTGGTAAAAGTGATGGGAACGAATCGACGTGTACCGCTTGTCGTCCTTGGCGCCCAGACGCTCGTTGGGGTCGAGCACCAGCAGTTTCTGCACCAGGTCTTTGGCGTCCGCGTTGAACCCGTCGGGGAACTCGTAGTCCAGGCTGAGGATTTTCTTGAACAGCATGTACTCGCTCCTGAAAGCCACCAAATCACTAGTCGTTAAATAATTTAAGTAAAGAACGCGCAACACGGCGGCGGCGGCGGCGGCAGCGATTGTCTTACCTGGACCGGAACGGCGGCAGACCGGCGATCATCTGATAGATAATGCAGCCGAGGGCCCAAAGGTCCGAACTGCACGAGATACTCTTCTCCGTCAATAGTTCGGGGCTGACGTACTGAGCGGTGCCGACAAAGCTGTTGCTGCGCGGCCTCGGCTCGTCGTCGCTGATGACCGACGACTCGGTGGAAGTTATGTCGCTGTCGGCGGTGTCGGGCTGTTCGACTATTTTGGAACAACCGAAATCGGCCACCTTGATGTGCATGTTGTGGTCGAGCAGTATGTTCTCGGGCTTAAGGTCCCTGTGCATGATGTTCAAGTCGTGCAGGTGCTCCAGGGCCCGGAGGATTTCGCCCGAGTAGAAACGAGTGCAGGCCGCGTCGAACGACCCCACCTTGTTGATGTAGGGCAGCATGTCGCCGTTTTTAGCGTACGACATGACAAAGTACAGTCTTTCGGCGTCCTGGAAAGTGCAGTACAGTTTGACGAAAAAACTCGACCCGGAATTGCTGAGTATGTTCAAAGCGTCTTTCTCGCGACGCACTTGTTCGCGTTTCTTCTCTCTGATGATTTGATGTTTTTCGCATACTTTAACTGAAAACAAAAACGGTTAGATCTCGTTAGACATCGGTTTCAACGGCAATTTCATATGGGACAGGATTCACCGCCGAGGTCGAATAATTCGTTAAGTAATAGTGTGTAAACGCTTTGAATTAATCACAGTTAAATTATACACATACAACGCAAGTGTTTAGAATAACTGATCATGACGGATGGACCAAGTCCAATCGAAAACCGGGACTAGGGTCTAGGGGCGAGATGACGATATCGGCGCAAAATTATAACTATTTTCAGTTCAGTACTACTTTTGTTATAATTAAATTCTTAAACTCGATTAATTACAAAACGATTTTTTTTGAAAGGTCAAAGACACGACTAACTAGTCCGGCCAACGTCGTTTGGTACTACTCGGTCATTATTAAATATTATATACCTACGTATCTAAATGCAAAAATATCTACTTAACTCTTGGGTCTTAATGGGGAAGACAGCGATAAAAAAAAACATAATTTTTTTTGTGGTTTTTTTAACGCGTTTTCAAAACAATAATTATCCGTTTCAAGGGTAATGCACCACGTGTATCGGTGTACCCCAAAGAGTACACGGGTTATCCATGCGAGCTCGAAGAAGGTTGGCACGTGTAAAACGCTGCCGCGTGTATAATATAATATCTTATTATTTATGTATTGTAACATACAGTAATAATACTGCTAGAATATGTGATCGTCGTCGTCGTCAATAATAATAATAATAAAAACCGCCGTAACGGTTTTACGGGTCGTAAATAAAAATCGACTAAGCCCGCGTGTAAACCGGTGAACGAAGCACCCGAGGAAAGGAGAGGGCATAACTAGAGATAACAACAATGGCACAAAAATAATAGTAGGTACTTACTTGCATGTTCGCGATTTGTGTGTATGTCTTTGGCCAAATACACCTGTAAAGAAAACGTAACGATTTCATTAATGAAAAATACAAGCCTATTCAATATGAATATTTTAATAAAACAAGTTATCATCAAATGCTAAGAGTGATAATAGCGATCGCAATGATAATCGCGTTATGCATAGACGTTGACTGTGTAATATTTGTGTTTGTGCGCAAGTATGATACGTCGGTCACTGAACCGGTCTAAAAACAGTCACACTGGCGGTGCCCAAGGTCAATGAGTTTATACACACCGCGCGCGCCTATTGTATATATATATATTATTATGTGCGATATATACACGAGAGAGAGAGTCAAAGGTCTTTTCTGTATTTCGTATTATATAATACACTATTATTCACCGGTCCGATTAGAATTTCGCATACGCTATAATGTAGTGTCGGGTTTACCTGTGGTGCCGGCCGTCTTGTAAACAACGAGTTTCCCAGAAACCAGAAATTAATAATACAACAATAATATCCAACTACTCTTCGGCATATACCCGGTTCGGAATAAATAAATAATAATAATAATTATTATTATTATTATTATTATTATATTATTAATTACATCAACAAAAATCGGTTTTAACCTCGTACATACAAGCCAGGGGTCGGCCAGCAGTTAGATAAAACGCGTTTCGTCGGTCATTCAAACATAATAATAATAATAATAATAATAGTAATAACAATATTATTATTACTAGAATTACGTTTGCAGACGCGTGCGCGTCGAATAATTGTTTTATTTTTTATCGATTGTATAATATGATGGATTCTATCTATGATCGGCATTTATTGACCAAAAAAAAGGCATTTTGCAACTCGTGCACTTGTTTATTAGAAGACGTTGCGCGAAAACTCGGGATTTCAAGCTACTCGGATTTCGATAGTCTCGGTACATACTTAAGTTGGTAATTTCGGAGTGGTGAAACACCTACCGATTGGATGGCACACTAAACTGTGCGGGCACTAGCAAAGATGGGGGGGGATGGTTTTCGATAAAAAATCGTTTTATTTTAATTCTACCGATGTGTATACTCACGGTGGAATAGCTGCCCTCGCCGATGACTTTGCCGAAAATGTAGTCTGTCGGACTTCTTTTGGTGACCGGCATTATCATGTGTTCATTGGCGGCCACAACAGTCTGTTGGCCGTTGCTAGCGGGAGGTGACAACTGAGTCGGTGGCGGTGACCCGGACTGCATGGTCGGGGGCGGTGGCGGTGACATGACGATTTGCTGTGGTTGGTGTTGTGGATACGTAGTAGTTTTGGCCACTGCAACTGCTTTCTGCGGACAGACAAAAATCCAAAAAGACCGTTAAGGCGCGTGCGGAAAAACTACAACTTAAATGGTGTGTATATATATTTTTTTTTTTTTTTTTTTTATTGGTGTTCGATTATTATTAGTTGAGATTTTTGTCACGTCCGACCAGACGAGAGATGCGTTTGTTGAACGTGCCGGGGAAGAAATCGAACACCCGCGTGTGACCGGCCAGAGCTGTGAAATGGTGCACCGTCGGCGCCGGTTGACGTCATTTGGCTCGTCGCCCTATAATGCACACAAACACACACGTCTCTGAGATTCGGAGGCGGCGCTTACCGGCCGGAGAACGTCAAACGAGCAGCAGAACAAGACGATACGAGCGTTGGAAATAAATAAAGAAGAAAAAAAAGGTCAAATCCAAAGTCCGCGCGACTGGAACAGAGGACGAATGAACAGACTCATTCATTCGCTTTTGACCGTGGCTAAACCGCCGCGATATGATCTCCAATACCCTGCGGCGGACTTTGGGGTAGGTAGTATATAGCGCCGATCCGGTTTTGTTTTTCGACCACCGCGAGAGACTGTAAATTATTATAATGTTATAGTGCCGAACCGACAATAATAATTAACGACAAGTGACAACGACCGGTCTCGGCAAAAGAAATCAAAGGTCAGTGTGTCCGGCGACAGCGATGGCAATGACAAAAGTGCCGACTACGGCAAAACGTTAAGACAACGGTTCCGAGTAATCGAAACGACCGCCGCGGGGTTAGACGGTGTCATTTTTTATCTCGGATTAAAATTAATATTACACCTCCGGCAAAGATGAAAATACTAAATTGATTATTATTACACAAATCGTTACGGCATAATCTACTACACGGCTCGCAAAGCGTTAAAATATAATATATATATTTTACAAAAAAAATTTCTTGGACGACCGTCAATGATCATCGGCCCCGTGATTCGGCGATCGCAGACGGCACACGGTGCCAAAACTCGCGATTCCCGTCGTCCCCCTTAATAATAATAATAATAATAATAATAATAATAATGCAGTCGTCTCCATTTCAATTTAAGTACTATAATAGATTCCAACCCGAACCCCGCTAGCGCTGAAACAATTACAGAGCCGCACATCCAAATAGCGGTTAATGTGTAATTAAAACGACTAAATTATAGTACAGTCAGCAAAGTAACCAGTGATTATAATTAATGTCAGTTTAACGAGGCTACCGATCGATGATTACGATTTAATCACAACGACACTATATTATAATAACGTCCATTGACTATGTATACAAATAAAATAGACTCACGATTAACGAGTGGAGGAGCTCCACAAAAATTGAGATTTTTTTCGCCCATTTTATTGCAACAATTTAGAGATCAATACATATATATATATGTATAATTTTGTTAATTGAAGACGCACCTCCCACCTTCAGTTGTCTATCACGTACCCAACAACACTATCCGTTAACGTGTCGCATATTATAACATTGGCAGCGTTTAACCGGAAAACGTTTATGTTTGGCTTAACCGTGTCAGTGTGTCGCGTGGGCGGCGGCGGCGGCTGCGTTTTGTATCATGCGTACCGCCCGAGTGACGTAACGGCGAACGTGGGGCGGCGGTTGTGTACTGATGTACTATTATACATTTATACATATTCAAAACAAAAATATGTAAATGCGAACTGGCCACCGCTAGGGTAAAGAAGGCGCGACCGCCTTATGACGGTAAACATCCGAACCACCCTATTAGTTTTCCACGTTTTTTTTCGCTAACCGAACGCTACGGACTTCCGAAAATCACGGGAATAAATCAAAAATGCATTTGTAAATGAAAGCCCGGTTTGGCCCCTTTAAACAAGTAATACAAGACAATAATACATATCCCGACGTATACGGAGCAAAAATCGCATCTTAACTGTTTTTATCACGAAACGGGGCGAATTAGAATATACACAGAGCGTAAATGTGTATACATAATATACAAGCAAATAGAAAGGAATGTGTTGCTGCGACACAACAAGTCACAGACACGTTTTATTTAAGTTCCTAGAAGCGGCAGGATACGCTGACATGACCTTATCCTAGGGGATACGAATGAGTATTTTGGCACCATGACCTTCACACACATCACAAAGCGCGGCTGTACCCTGTGTATTTTGTTGCTGAACTTGACGGGCGCCCCCTTTCTTCGTTTCTATACAGGCCAACGTGTAAAATCAATATCGGGACAACATTGTGATGCGTTCAAACGACGAAATTCTTTAGGGAAACATTAAAATAATACACCGGCCTAGCAATTACAGTAGACGGGAATCCGCGAGTGTGTATTATTTTAGTTATTCAAAATAAATTGTTTACTCAAATATACTTTTTAAGCAAAATCTTTTATAAAAAAAAAACTGTGCCTCTAGCGTATAATCCAACGTCTGGCGCTGCCTTTTTTCTTTATTAAAAAAATAAATAAATAACCGACCCGACAGCAACCGCGCTGCTGTACACACAGTACACACACACAACTATAATATAATAATAATATATAATATTATACGTACAACAATATGTATAACAATATTATTTTCGCAGCAGTCTCGGCCAGACGACCTTACGGGCCGCCGACTCAAGAGTTTTTCAAAATAGTAATATATAAGCGTGCAAACTACTACTGCTCTCCTCTCTCTCTCTCTTATTAGTTATCAACATTATATAAATAAATACAAAAAGTAAAAAAAAACATGTGCAAATGTGACAATAAAAAAAAAACTGCCGGCGACGACCACGCCGCCGCCGGAGCGAAGATAATAAATATTTGTCAAATCTAATGTACAATTTGTGAAAAAAAAAAATTACAATATTATAATATCGCCTCGTATGTTGGGCGTTATCGGCGGCGTGATTTCATTCAAACATACAAACGGATACGTCCACCCATCGCGTTTTATTATTATTGTCATGACATTATTTTATTATTGTTATTGTTATTATTATTCATTAATTTATTTATTATACGCCGAGCATCCGAATTGCGTCATTCAAACAATCGCGCGTTATCCGTCGGTCGGATGCTCGATTACGACCTATGACGCAACCGTATCCTCTCTCGATAGAGACCGTACGCGCGCGGTGCATAGCTTCCAAATAATCGATTTTATTTCTTTATTAACGGGGATTTTGTGTTGTTTTTTTTTTTAATTTCCTCAAAAATATTTTTTACAACAATGTGATAAAAAACAAACAACGGCACGAATGTCTCCGTCGGACTGTTTTTCCGAAGCGCACGCGCCGCCGCCGCTGCGACCTTGCTAACGCCCAAGGCAGTCTCGTCGCCGCCGCCGCCACCGTTGTTATTGTCGTTGTTGTTGTTGTTGTTTTCCGTCGTTTATCGTCGCAAAACGAGGCCGACTTTCATGTTACGGCCGATATGGTAAAATAATTATGTATATATTATTTTATCGGCGGCGGCGGCGGCAATTGCAGACGCGAGATTTTTCACTTTACCCGAAAATCCGGCACAACAACAATATTGCATAAGATGAAATTAATAATAATATCATTATCAACAGTGTGACAACGCCCACTCACCGGTATAACCGAACGGTAATTTTATATTCTATTTTTTTTTTTTATTCATCATCACTGTACCGTCATCATAGGTACAGAGCACGACACTCTTGTACAAACACCTCCTCGACGGCGGCGGCGCGGTGGGTTCGACGCAGAGAACGTTGATCTGTTTTTCGGTCGCCCGCGCGTTTTATTCGTTATCACGCGTTAATGTGTTTTTTCCGCTTTTCCACGCGCGGCACATGGGTTCGTGTTGAAAAACAAGTTTTCGTACAATAACACCGGGTGCGTGCGTGCGTGTGTGCCCGCGTCGACTATATAGCTCCTCCAGTCAAGGACACCGCCGGAGAGCGCCTACCGGGTGTACGGTGTTGACGCCACCGGGCACACCCCCCTCCCAATCATACGCACACACGCAAACGCGGCGGGGCTGTTAACCCTGCAACACACGGTAGACGGCGGCGGCAACAACGGATGGCGCAAGGACAAGCGGCGGTGTGAACGGCCCTGCGAGGGCGACCGCGTGAGGGGGGAGGTCCTCCGGGGTCGACGACAAGTTCAATGCCATCTTCACGGACGCGCGCGCTGGTGTGCGAGTTCCTCGTAAAAGACGTCGTGTGCTCATAAAAAAAAAAACACACGTTACATTATTATTATTATTCTCATTATGGTTAGAGCCCGCGTATATTTTCCCTCCTTTTTTTTTTCTCTCAATAATAATTACAGGTTTTATTGGCGGCGGCAGTGATGATATTATTAAGGTAGCATTAGCAGTACACGTACACATTTATTTTTATACCATAACAACAATAGTAGTATTTGTAGGAGTAATAATAAATCGTATTGTTGTTGTACTGTATGCGTAAACAACAACGGTAATGATGACGATGTCGGCAGCCACGGCCTGCGGTTTTTCCCACACTAATATAAACGCCGTGTCCAACGCCGCGTCCGACGTTACATAAACCAAATTTCTCGTTCTTACAACAACTGCGACTTGTCGGTTTAATTTTGTTTTTTCAATCCCCCCCCCCCTAGGTGAAAGTGTGCGGCTTTACTACGCCGCCGCTCCAAGGTGAAAGCAGGTGTACACGATATCATTATGGGCTACACGCAGCAGCCGCCGCGACGAACACACCTGGTGTCTTCTCGCGATTCAAACAAAAAAAAAAAAAAAATACACAAATGGGATCTCTTAGGCCGCCAAGGGACGGCGGGGACGACGTCCTTATTGTCTAGACGCGGAAGGAGACGTAGCACCCGGCCTCGGTAATTTCGCTTCACGCCCTCCACCTGGCGCACGGACCGACCCCCTGAAGACCATTTACGTTAGCACGGTATCACGGTCAAATTGTGTACCGTCCGATATCAAAAAATAATGTGTTACACGACGTTACGTCGCCCGGGACCAAATAAGGGAGGGAAAAACTGAGCGCGGCAGCCGAAACGAGGGCATCAATTGCTGGTAAAAAATAAAAAAATAAACGGGAAAACCGTGGCAGCAATCGGAGGGCGTAAACAAGAGGGATATTTACCGTCTGCTGCGTCGGACGGTCGCATTCGATTGCTTCGGTATGTGGGTCATTGTCCAACAGTGTACACGCGCGCGCGCGCGCCCGTTCATCGGTTATTACACAACGGCGCGCATTCCTCACACGTTATCGTTGCACGGGGGGCTGCCACGCGACTCCTACAGCCGCAGCGCTAGTACTGCAACGCGGCGCGGTCGAGACGGTCCGTCAACGCAATACCTTGTAAACGATATTATGACATTCAACGGCGATCGACGATCACAGAAATGTAAATAATACTCGTGGTAACGCGTCGGCCACTTGCCGGTCGATTGTTGTAAATTATTGAATAAAATAATAATAATAATACGGTACCTAGTATCGAATTTACCAGGGGATGAGCGAAACGCGTCAGCGGTCCCCGCTTGACCGTAAACCACCACCACGACGACCAATACTGGGTGGTACAACAACACACGACACGAACCTATCGCCGTTGCCGACATTCCGGTTACAGCATCCGGTGTGCACGTCACCGGAATGACGTAATTCCGTCGGCGGCGACGGCAATAGATTACGCGGGCGCCACGCGCAAGCGCCTCCGCCGAGAGCGAAGGAGGGCCCGTTTTTTTCCCGCCCGCCAAAATATTCATATTTATTTACCTACTATGAAAATACGGCGAGCGCGGAAAATTCGTCTAGACCAACGGGTAGATTATTATAGAAAACCCGTCCGCCGGACGCCGAACACGCGTGTCGTCCGGGTTGCGATGAAGATCAAAACACGTTTATAATGTAACATTTTCAATCGTACCTTGGTGACGGATTTTTTTGAGATTTTCTCCTTGCGGCCGATGCGGAACACCCTGGCCAACGTTTGCGCAAACTGCACGGGACGCGAACGAACGATTACCGTGGTGGTCGATGTCTGTTTTTTCTGATACTTGGTATCCATTACGGGTGGACAACAACGTGTGTGAGCGCGCGCGACAAAACGGATCGTCAAGTGTCGCGACAGCGTCTTGACATCATACGGGTCGTCTCCGGGACTCTCGCGCGCGCTTTATAATATATAGTACGGACGACGCAAAACAAAACGCACGCACACGCCCGACAAGTGTCTACTGTAAACAAATAAATTTATTTGATAATGAAAAAAAAAGACGAAAACCCGCTACTCGACGTGTGGGAAAAAAATATATAATATATAATTATACTAAAATATTATTTCGAATACGAGCGGTTCTACTAAAAAAAAAAATATATAAATTTTCGAATGTTCGGCAAACTACGGTGAACCGTTGTCAACGAATACTGACTGTAGACTGCCGGTGGTCGCCACACTCCGGACTCGCGTCGTCTGACCGAGCTCAACGCACTCGGCGGCGGCGGCGGCGGTGGTATAGTCGGTGGTGGTGGTAGCAACGGCGGCGGTGGCGGCGTCGGCTCGGTAGGGGGATACGGTCCCCCACCGACGTCGCTGCAGCGTGGTGCGGTGTGTGTGTGTGTGTGTGTACTGTGTAGTCGCCGCCGCCGCCGCATTATTATTGTATTGAATACACCCGTTGTGGATCCTACCGAGTACCCGCCAAAACGGTTGTTCTCTTTTGTACGACACGCATTCCATTCTGCCGTTGCCGTACGGTTTTTTTTCTATTTGTGTATATATGGTTTTTTTTTGTATACTTCTTTTGCTCTCCGCGCGTTTACCCCTCTTCTTATTCTCCGTAATAATTATACGAAAAACGTTTTTCTTTTGCCCGTCTCCGCGCCGGTAAATTAATAACAATATCGTCAATCGATTATTATTATGGCCGTAGACCGCCACCGACGGCAGACGGCATTCGACAGGGGTAAAAGGCGCGCGACGGCGGGTTCGGTGACCTCGTTCCCGCGTTATTTTTTTATTATTATTATTATTATTATTATGATTCTTTGCGCGGAGGGAGACGTCGTGCACGTGGGCCGTCGCGGACCACGAAAACCCCGACGGTTCCGTACAGCCCGGTTAATAACAAATAATATTATTACCGTACCTATTTACTTATTATAACATAATGTATTTTTATCAATGAACGTGGGAAAAGGGAGCCGGTGCTCGCTGTAACAATAAAGAAATGGCTCGTTATCGTCAGATTTTATCGGTCCGCACGGAACGCCAGACGACAATGACGATGGCGTTAAAACAACAACAAAATAACGCCTCGTCGGTTCGGGACATTTGCACCGGAAATCCTTTCTGATATTTGCCGGGTACAGAAATCGTCATTGCACATCATACCGTGGGTTATCGGACGTGGTGTTGAAAATAGAAACTCTTAATGAGGTTCCCATTGTGTCGAGATAAATTTAGAACCGTCACGGTCCGGACCGTCGTACCCTGTCGGCTGCCCCGTGCACCGTCGACGATCTTGAGTACATCACTTAAAGAACAACGTCGCCCGATCGATCGAAACTCTTGTGCCCTTGCACAGAGATCCGTGTCGGAGTGGCCGGCAACGAAATCCTTACTGTTGACACGTTCAACACGACTGCCGACAGTAAATCGAATCAAATCTTCGACACGTCGTTGTCAAACTAAAGCCATTGATAAAACTACCAACATACGGTGCACTATAATATTATAAATGTTATACTAGGTTGTAAGAGTCGTGAAAAATACTGTTAATTTGTTGCGCTTAAAAATAAAATTCCTAGTCAAATGCGTATTTCGGGTGACATAATAAATGCTCTTGGCATCGATACTTTTCAAGTCGACCCTGCGTTAAAAATAAAATAACACGGATATCATCGCATATTTGTATAGACTACGAAATCTATGTAAACACCACAACCTGGTGGTCGGGCGGCCAACCACGGTTGTCCATTATGATAATAAGAATGGGAAAAATACAGTGAGCGTACCTACGCGATGATTCATGGGCAAACCGAAGGTCGCGCGAGTATAGTGACTTGTTGATTAAGATTTGACACGACAGAATAATGCGCGATGACCTTACCATAATATTAAACCGCCAAAATTCCAAACCAGCAACGTAGAACGTACATGGCGATGGAGGTGACGTTTCCGGGTGAACACGCACCGCCAGGTCAACAAACCCGAAAGTACACAAATAACAAGATAACCTGACGGCAGAAGACATTACACGTTCGTGTGCCTCTACTGCGCTGCCCGCTGCCGTTAATAGTCCAGTGCGTTGACTGTACGAGCCTCAGTTTACAAAACCGTATATTATTGCGCACGGGCCACAACAGCTAACGACTTACGTACGTAAAATTAAAACCGCTTAGCCGTCCAAAGCCCAGAGTCCTACTGGACGGCAAGCGTTTTCGTGCCGCTCCCGCACTTACGGAGTCACACGAAAACTAACCAAACACTACAATATAGTACTTATAAGTCAGCTTGCCTGCACGGTGAAGTTGGCAAAAAGCCGATGATGTTGACTGCCCACGCGGGAGAAAAAAACGCGATTTTCGGTACTACTCGTCGTATATATTTGTCTCTATAACTTGCGCGCGATATAGGTTTACTTTTACAACGATTTCACTTTTTGATTTTTCTTGGACCAGGCACTACTGCCCACACACTCGCGCACGCGGAGACGACCGTGGACGTGTGCAGAGCACTATGTTACACCGGTAGTACAACAATACTGCTAGTATAGAGAATACCTTCTGTGTGATCGTGTGTGTGTGTGTGTGTGTATGTGTGACTCACACACTCACGTAGAATGCCGCGTCTATTGACCTCGTCAGCCACCATAGCCGACGACGGCGGCGGCGCCTACAAACAAAAAAAAAAAAAATTTATTATTATAATCCCGCGTGTTTGCGCACCGGCCAGACGGACAGCCTCGCCACAGACTCCCCATTGTTGCGCTCTACCTCGTCCCCTCGTCGTCGTCGTCCGCGGCCCGCGCACTGCAACCGCGAGCCGCCGCCGCCGTGTGTCCGACTTTCTACGCACGCGAAGAATTTACGCTCTTATAACACTGCGGAATGTGCGCAATAGATGCGGCGGTGCCGGGAGAAAGACAAGTACCGCGACCGGTGTACGCCGCCGACGGACTTGGTGAATGAAACATTCTCGAGCCGCGTAAAGGGCACCAGACGGATGCGGCAAAATCCGTATTTATCTACCGCGAGCCGTTACAATGCATGTATGTGTGTGTTATACGAGTGCCGCCGCTGGTGTGGTGTGGTGGAGAGGGGCAAACCCGGGGGTCGTCGTACTCTTTTGGGCCGGTGCATATATGAGGAACACGACCGTCGCCGGCGTCTTGCCGTCGTTTCAATGTACATATATATATAAATACAAGTCACGACATACCGCAAGAAGGGCCCTCGCGTCCGGTGTACGCAGTGCGGCGGCGACTGTGAATTTTCCCCTCCGATTCGGCGTCGGTACTTTTGTGTTCTTTTTTGGCACATCTCGCCGCCATGATCGACCCCCATCGCCGCGGCCCGTTCTGTACCTTCGGGGCATGAGCCAACTCTTCTTGTAAATTATTATTATGCTCCCGATACCCAAAAGCGAGTATCAAACAACCGCCGCGCCAGACACGTAATTGCATACGTCGTCGTCGTGACGTACAATACTTTTTCCATATAATGTAACAACAATGTGTGCGGTTTTACACGATACTTTCGTCTTCATCTGTGCACCCTCTGACGGGCGTTACCGTTAGGATAAGTATTAAGACGCAGTACCTCGCTCGCAACAGCTGCAGTGCCGCCGACGCACAATTGGTCACCACCGTTTTATCGTACTGGTATAATACCGTTCAATGGTTATTATAACGTTGAAGTCGAGCCAAACATAATGTATATTATGTGCTTTTTCTCTCTCTCAAATTATTTGCAATTTTTTAATGCGGCTTTCTCCAAATTGGAATAATTTGCAATGCAAATTATACATTTGTGTTTTTTATAGTTCGTTCGAATTCAGAGTTGGCACTCGGCAAAACCGTTTAACTCGAATGGTCTGATACATACACGTCTTGTGGTAACTATTTATTGCGGTTAGCGTAACCCGTTATTAACTAAACTCCTTATCATAGGCAGCCTCTAGTCTCGAATAACAATATATTAAGTCAACGTTAACTGATATGGAATAAAAATAAAAATTCCAATTACTTTTACTTATGTCTGCTAGTACGAACAAACGATGTGATTTTTTCAAAAACAGAATAATCAACAATAATTATTGGCAATCGAGTGTAGCCTACGAGTCTACGGAACTGGCGAGATTCATTGATTGTTATCCTTATTGCTAGACAAGAGAATTGAGTATACACAACTCAAGTCGCTTGTAATAATTACTGTGTTTACAATAAAATAAAATAAAAACGTAATCTACAATAAAATTACACTATTAACAGTGTCGTTGCAAGAGTCGAGTGGGCCCGGATTGACGTGATGCGTCAATGGCGGTATTCCTTAAGTGGATGTTTTGACAAAAAAGCGTCAGTGTCTAGTCAGTGGAGACATGCGGTTACACCGTGCGATAGAGGAAGATCAAGATTTCCAAAGAAGGTGATTCGTGACACGGCCAATAGTAATAATTTCGACAAAACAAAATATGCAGTACTGATATCAGTAGAAAATATGCGGACAATTATAATAACACCGTAGTTATGTTTTATAACTGTAGTTATCGTATTTATGTTTTTATTATTTATTTTTCGGCTTCTGCTATTCATTATTGCTACTACTATATACTGTGTTATTGTTAACGCGAACGGATACATATAGTTGTTGTTTTGCCTAGAAATCAAAAGCGTACGCGTGCCTGTTGTTGTTGTATACATTATAATAACATTGCAACATTTTCACAACATGATAAATATATAAATATATATATATATATATATATATATATATATATATATATATATATATATATTCGGTTGTTGTCGATAAAACAATGGTCCATCTGGATTAATTTCGTTTTGTTCTTTGGTAAATTTCTGTGAAAATCATTTACAACCCCTTAAAACAGATTGCTAAACAAACTACACCAACAACAAAATATCGAGTTTTTTTGTTAGACACTAAAAAACAACGTGGAAATTAATTTAGCTTACAACATACATTTTTTTTATGATTACTTATTAACGCTAAACAAGTTTGGGTCGATGTTTGGCAACCCCTGCGCCTTCTTTCTCAGGCGAAAAACGTTAATTTCTATCCAAGTCCAACGAGAAAATACTCAACCGGCATAACAACAGAACCGCCAACGACAACAACAATATGATAATAATTAACAGTGTCTACTCGCAATGTATTTGTGTAAATTATTTTTATAATTTTAACCCGTTAAAAGCGAAAAAGTAAACAA